TCGGCAGAACCGTTCCCATCATCTTATCGAATAGCCACAAACATTTATCAACATCCGATCTCTTCGTGCACAACCACAACAGTAAATCGAGCACCTTACACGACACATCGTTATCTAAATACCCGTCGATCAAAATATTGGCGAAATCATACATGTTCACATCAATTACCCTCTCCACCACCCAATAAGCAGATCTCATAAAACCATTCCGCACCAAAACATCAAGAACACTACAGAACACAAACTCCGAATGCTTAAACCCCTTTCTACCCTCGGCCCACCGGAATATCTTTAAAACCATCCCGGGGCGATTCCTATGCGAATTAATGAAACTCAAAAACAAATCAGGATCCCTTACCAAAGAATTGAAATAATCTGGTGCAGCCCAATGAGTATCTCTAAAAAACCCGGGTTTCTCTTTAGCTGTATTGGAGACAAGATTCTGACGAAGCCCGGGTAATGATTTAATGTTGTAATCCCTTGTTGTTACGATTCGATTGGTGCTAATGTTGTTACCTTCGGGATTGAAAGTATGGGTGGTGTTCAACTCCGATGAGCAATGAAAATGGTGGGCGCGAGAGAAGATGATGAACAAATCAATGTTGACGGAACAGAAATAGTAGTAGAGAGAGGAGCTGAGGTTTTTCGTGGGGATTAAGGATTTTGAAGCTATTATACAAAAGGTCATTCTGTGATTTCAAAAGGAAGAAAATTAAATTAGCTGAGAATCGAAGAAAGTACATCCATGCGAATAAAACACGGGAAAAAAATGAAGGGTTTGTTTGATTCAGAGATTCCAACGAATGGGGGCGGCGGGATGTTAGTGGTGGTGCAGCCTACCACCGTGCGGCGAGAGGAGGAGGAACGTGTTCGCTATATGAATTTTTTTTTTTTTTTTTTTTTTTTTATGTTTTAAGGCTTTTCCGAAAATTCATTTTCCTTTTCTCTTTTGATTATTATTTAAAAAATAATAATTATTATTATTTAATGGGCAAATTACGGCCACCCCTGAATTATGGTCAAATTACAAAAATCCCTCTTGTTTTGGTAATTACAGTCAGCCATCAACTATGTATCTTACGAAAAAGAAACGCTCTAGAGGTAAATTTAGGGATGTTAAATCGGTAAAATCGAACCGAAATTTCAGTACGCCAACATTTCATGCCGTTTGTTTACCGAACTGAATATGCAATTTAATTTGATAAATAACCGAATTACATAAATTTTATGTAAAAATATTTAAGAGGGGTGACTGTAATTACCCAAACAAGAGGGTTTTTTCGTAATTTGGCCATACTTCAAGGGGTGGCCGTAATTTGCCCTTATTTTTTTTTATTTTTTTTTTGTAATGAATGAATCCGCAGCCAAACATGTAGGTACACTACTGGATAAACCAACACTTTCGTATAATAGATTACAAACCATATAAGTGAGGTAATAATACTAGGTTAACCATGTGTGTCTAGGGATGGCAACGGGTCGGTTCTGAGCCGGGTTTGCCTAAACCCAAGACCCGACCCACGAAAAATATATAAACCCAAGACCCGCCCCAACCCGCTTTAGCTTAGATCCAGACCCGCCCCAACCCAAACCCTAACTAAACGGTTCCGACCCGCCAGACCCATTAACATACAAAAAGTTTAATATTTTTTAACTTTTATAACATTTTGCTTGGATATTTTTACGAAATAATTTCAATACTAAAATAAAATATTTTAAAAAATCTGTACAAGTGACATAACATGAACAATAAAATTACAATTAATTATATTTAACTTCGATAATAAGTAAAATTCAAAATGCAAGACAATTAGCGGTGGTCGACAAGTGATAAAAATTACTCACGAGAAATGAGATTCGAAAAATAAAATAGTGAAAATAGGTAAATGAGAATAGACAAGATGAAAATTGATAGTTTGATAAGTGAAACTCGAACATATAAATATATATATATATATATATATATATATATATATATATATATATATATATATATATATATATATATATATATATATATACGAGTCGGTTGCGGGTCGGTTCCAATAAGACCCATAACCCGACCCAGAACCATCCGGTTCTAGAAACTTAAACCCATTACCCGACCCAAAATCATTTAGCTGACCCAGACCCGCCCCAAACGGGTCGGTTCCGGGTCCAAGACCCGCCAAACCCGTACCCATTGCCATCCCTATGTGTGTCAATTTTCTTATTTTCTTGTTAACTTGTAAGTAGGGTGAAAATTGGTTTGGAATTTCCAATTTCAACCGATTCCGACAAAAAGAATTTCAACTCCATAATATTGGTTCTCATTGATAAGTTCGAAAATTCCAATTTCGATTTTTTCAATTTTTTAGGATCGAAATTGAAATATTGCATTACCTATTGGAATTTTAATTTCTATAAGTTGCATTTATAAGATCAAATTATTATTTATTTCATACTATGGGTGAATAAAAAATGAATTTTCAAACTCCATCTATTTCGATCCAAAAAATTTCGATTTGATGAATGCATTAAAATTCCGATCCGTGATGTATAAAATAAATCATTTATGTCTAAGTAATCAAAATAAATCTCAAATTAATTCCTCACAGTAGCATCAGAATTGAACTTTAGTATATAGTCCCATTCAGCACTTAACATTCGCGATCCATTAGTTTATGTAACATTGCCTGCACATGTAATGAAACCATATGAGTCGAAAACCCGAAAATTAGATAAAATAATTTCTGCCAAAAGATTATGGAATTTAAGAAACTAATATAAAAATGTGTCACGATTTTGGGGAAAAAAATAATAATTTCGAACTCCGATAGAACGTACCGGACAAGAGCTATGCGATTTCAGCCCTTGATGAAGTTCGTGCCCCGATATTAAAAGCTTCACCGGCCGAAACTCGGTTGATCGGCCTTGTCCTCTGTTATCCTCGAAGGATATTAGAGAACGTTCTAGAAGATGCTCAAACGCCTGAAAGTAGTAAGTTTTATTTCGTATATGCTAAGAAAGTTCGATATAAACATTCGGTTCGAGATTTATTAATAGTTTTAAAAGTTAAGTATTATACATACCCGCAAGCATACATTCCGTGCATAATAGTCGGATGTTTGGAAGGTATCGTGTATGCTTTTGTACTCTGCAATGAATAACAATAGATCGGGTACGAATTTCCGGAGGAAGTAATAAAAAAAAAACGGAGAAAAGATAAAGCGCACCTTTCATTATAGAACTGAAATTGCACATCTCCAGCTCTTTGACTTCCAGCCTCTTCATGCAAACCAATATATAAAGCTCTAAAGTGGAGCAATCTGCACGAATAAATCCGTTTTGCAATCATTACCGAAAATGAAAGAGACGTTAGGTTGGAATATAGCTTGCATGGAGATTCCGGAAGAAAACATTTTACTAAATATTTATATGTTACGCCCAGAAAAAAATGCACGAGGAAACTATTACTAGAAAACCCGAAGAATACAAAATGTGCTGAAATATGAGAAAGAAAATCTCAAGAATCGGTGATGTGAAAGGCCAACGTATAGTGGTATTTAATTTACTTATTTGGGGATCGGTATTGTTTCTCTTTTAGTTCTCTATCAATAAGAAAATTCGATAGTTCATCTTATCACTTTAGTTTTTCGTTAATTTTAAGGTGCATTCCAATCCCTAACAAGTGAAAAGAAAAAAGAAAAATCACCTTTTAGAGCCTCCAGTTTCGGCTGTCTCTGTATGCTCGGAAGTGCTGATTTGAAATTCTCAAGTGATAGGGAATCAGAATTCAAGTCCATATGACAAACAGCTGAGAATCTGGTGGCAATTGACGTGATGTCATTGGTCGGGACGTAATAATTATACATACAAAAAAAAAATTCACTTTCAAAAACTATTAAGCTAGGACTTACAGAAATTTCGATAGATGGCTGACAGTTGAATCAGAATAACATAATGTATCAGTGATTGCGTTGAATTTCTCATCGGCTAGAATGTTCTGCGAAAATGTCAAGGACTCTAAACAAGTATAAGTAGAAAACTTCTTTGGTTGCACACTTATTAAGCAATTTCTACTTCAGTCAACTCAATCAAAAGCTGTTTACGAGGACTTCTAATAAGAGGGCGAAATTGCAAAACTTGCTGTGGATTTATTTTAAAAGACTTTATAGGAACTGTTGCAATGATTTCTGGAAAAAGGATACAAGAAGTTTTGAATTAAAAGCTGCTATGTACTCATTTGGAAGCCCTGAATCTGCCGGCAGTAGTAGAATGTGCTCTACAAGTCTGCATATCAACAGGGTAAGTCATGATAATGAACTATTAGGAAGAAAAAAAAATAATAGGAAAGAATCGGAAAGTGCAGAAGATACAGGAGAGAAACTCACCTTTTCAAATCTTGTCCTGAGGGAGGAAGAAACAACAGTTTCCTGTGTGAAAAACGAGATCTTACTCTTTTCTCCAACAACTGATCAGCGTCCTACAAACCAAAAACGAGGTTTAAACATTTTTCCTAATGCCACTTCGATGGAACAAAAATCATTGCATCACTAATAAACACAGCATAATATATTTTTCCTAAGCTACGACTTTTGTTATATAGTCACTAGTAATAATGATAAAACTAGAGGCAGAGGCATCATACCAATCGACAACTCACTCCTACTACAACAGCTTGTGATGTAACAGATTGCATTGCATCAAGCAAACTATAAAGTAGTCGCTGTTTTCCCTGCAAAGATCAAGAAATGAAATAAGAATTGGTGCAGAAATGAAATAAGTCCTTCTACACTTGATAGTATTAACTTACCTGTGTAAAAAGGTCAAACTCCTCTAGAACAAACACAATTGTTTTATGTGCCAATCCACACTCCCTGGTTAAAAACGAGAGGAGAAATTAAAACTCTAAAACAACAAGTAATATCAAAAGTAGAAATTTTCTATCTTCTGAAAAGACAGGCATCTACTGTCGATGGACTTACCGCAACATGGACAGCAAGAATTGGGAGTTATCATCAAATGATGCCTGCCAAATTATTTAAGGAAGTATAGCAATTGGTCAGATCAAATTCCTTTTTTTATTTTTATAGAGGAACTTTTTGGCAACTTAAAAACCTAGAATAACATTACCATTTTAGAGAACAACAGTTGATGTTCCAGACACAATTGCCTAGCTATCTCCTGCATTAAAATTTAAGTAAGATTGAAGTACACAAATAACTTGATGCCATGAAATAAGAGGCCCGTTCCATATACATTATACATGTGGTGAAGCTAACTCCTAAATAGGAATCTTTAAACACATAAATTTGAGTGATACGTTGGCTTAACCTCCTGATGAATCTTTTGTGTATAAATTTTTTTCCAAGTAACCGGGCAAGAGAAAAAACCAGGAAGCACTACTTAATAGCACTTCGATACTTGAGCCAAAACACGGGCAATACTTTTGTACCGAAGATAGCTTGGTATTTATTTAAATAGCTTTATTTTCAAATCTGGTAATTTTTTGACTAGAATTCCATGTTTCTGGGAACATCTTGAGTATTTTTGGTAAGTAAAACTTGAGTCACATGCGCCCAGGTATCCCGTTTTATTGCATTCGTAAACACTTGCTAGTTATAAGTTAAAATTGCATCTACTTTGATCAGCTTAATCGTTTTGAAAGTAAAATCTTAGGACTTCTACATGCATCACATCTTTCGAGACTTTGGCCTAATAAATTTACGATAAAAGTGAAAGGTCTTGTGTCTATTGAAATTATGTTTGTTAGCAAATGAATAGAATTTAATATCTGATTTAACCAACATTGGTCAATTTCCAAGGCTACAGTTGGCGGCTAATTGAGTAGACAAGACTTTTTGTTGTAGGCCTTGAATTACTCAACTTCTATATTAGATAAAATATTCATGCGTACGCTATAAACGCAAGGATGAAGTGTGGGTGGTCATACCTTCAATGCGCAATTGTTATCGCTATGCAGAAGGCCATTGAGCTTAATCTGAAACGATACAACAAAATTAATCACGACAGAGTCCAGAAATACATCAAAATGTGCAACTAAAGGAAACACTGCAATTTAGAGAAAGAAATCTTAAATCAATATTCGGATACAAAAATCATACCACAGAAATCATGGCTGGGTGTTCTTTCAGTAGTTCTTCCAGAACTATCTCCAACACCTAAGCAAAACAAAGGGCAAAAAACACATGAACTTAAGACGTTATCCTTCGACCACTTCATTCAGTCGATATAATACAGAGAAATGGTACACACCGCAATTTTTCCACAGCCTCGAGGACCCAAAAGCAGAACTGAATTGTTACATGCCTCAGTTACTGAACTTGATATTATATACTTCAATTTACTGAGAAAAAGAAAGAGCGAAAAAAAAGTTCAGTTTTTCTCATGCCAAATTGCCTCTATCTTCCAATGTAAAAACGAACAATTAACAATCAAGGGGTGAACAAAATAGTCACATAAATAGAAAATAGGAATGTCTATGTCTGATACTATCAGCTAAATGTTGCATCAGAACTTTTGTAGAATTTACCCAAAACTGTTTAAACATTGAAGCAACCTGGTCACCCATGAGATTTAGAAGGGGAAAAAAAAATCGAATGTAGTAAACGATTGGATCAACAAACAATCAAAACTCCGTCTCAATTTCACATGAAAGTAGAACTGAAACAGATGTCCATTCGTACATAGTTCAATTGACACTGAGAAACCTAAAAATTTCGCCCAAATTCAAACCTTGTATTTCTCCCTTACCCAGAAAGCAAGGGTATATAATACTGAAATAAAGTGATTTTGTGTTAAGCCCCATTCAAGCTAAATTCCCAGGAATATATGTTTTTCATCAATTCAGCAAAGAAAATATGGAAATGGAAAAAAAAAAAATGAAATTTAAAAAAAAAAAATGATAATGAACCTGTAGTTGGAATCAGGGGATTGGGAGAAAAAGGAGTAGATGAAAGATGGATTGGAGATCCTGCTTCTGATGATGGTTTTGGCTAACTCTGCTTGATTTTCGTGACCCATTGCTTCTTCTTCGCTTTGCAGATACTCTGTGAAAAAACGAATTAGATTGATTTGGTGAAGGTGAAAAATGGCGGGAAAACTGAGACTCGAGGGCTGTGATCGACTGTTACGCACCCAGTCACAGTTGGCCACATCACGGGTTGTGAACCGTCGGATCACGTGTCGAAAATAGACTGAGTTTAAATAATAATAATCAGACCCTTAATCGTGTTTAACTCCTGGACCGGCCCACTTTAAAAATAATGGCTGTATTTGCACTTGGGTCAGCCCGATTACTATTCAATGGGCTTCAAACGGACCAAATATTTTAGGAACCCATTTAAGGAGTATAAATTACAATACAGGAGAACTTCGATAAATTGGTAAAAATATATTAAATACAAGTTCGATAATTTAATATTTTTTACTAATTAACAAAAAAAAATTTAGTCACAACTGTATTAATTTATAGATGTTAAACTGGATAAGGCATTTCAAATATTCTACTCTAATTTATTTATTTATTTTCTACTCGAATCGGATATTGAAACGCTTCTCAAATCAGTTACTCCTACAGTTAAACATTTATAAATTAATACAATTAGGATTAGCAAAATTCTATTATTTAAGAAAATAATAAATTATTAAACTATTAATTTAATATATTTTCATTAAATCAGGACATGATAAAACTAATATTTAAGGCGATGTTCTTAATTTATCGAGATTTTATAGAGTACTTCTTTAATGATATTATTATTATTATGGATAATAATTCGTTTTTTGCCCTTTTCTAATTAAAAAAAAAACAAGAAATAAAATGAAGTTGGCAAAACCGCCACCAACCAAAAGGGAGCGCACAATAGAAAAACCCAGGCCGATCGCCATTCGTCGCTATAGTGCGCATGTTCTTCGCTCCCAAAAATATCTCAACAGTCCACAAACACCAATCATCAATAATTCAAGGTTCAATACAAACTCCTGTGCGAGCACGAATCAGCAAATCTTGCACACAACCAAAAGAAATCAGTAATGGCAGCCACAGGAGCTCTCATCTTCAACAATCCACACCTCAGCAGTAACGCCCTTTGTTTCAAATGCTTGAACACCCAACCTAAAACTCTTCTCCGCATCAACCAGAAAAAATCCAAGTTATTCGGCTTCTCGAACAAGAAATTCAGCAGATTAGTTTGCTCCGCCGTCGAAGATCTCACGGAGAAGCCGCTCGAAACTAGTGTCGGCAGTTTAAATGGAGCCGGCCCAGCTGTTAAAGGTAGACTTTGTAAAAATTGATTAAGAATAAATCGTCTTCTGATTCACAAGTAATTGTTGGTTTTGATTTATGTAGTTTTGTGGAGTAATTGTTCTATCGGTTTTGTTTTATTTTTATTTATTTTTTTCTGAAAGGGGTCGGTTTCTATTTGCTGATGTTGGGTGTAATTGAAGGTGTATGCGGCCATGAGAATCTAAGGTTTCTTGTTAAAAGTCGAATTGGTTACATGTTCTGTGGATTATGGTGTTCTTAGGTAGAAATAATTGTTAATTGAAATTTGTCCAATCTAAATGGAAGGATAAACATTGATTAGGTGCTAATTTTGAAGATGTTTAAATGGTTTAGTTCTTCTGGTTTCAACTTAAATCAATCAGTTAAGAGTTACTAAAAACTAGAGATTTCGAACAAACGTGGATATTGGATCTAAATCATGTTCCGTCTGATGATAATTGATAACACAGTTTACAACTTAGTTATTAATTTGTTGTATTACTTCACGAGGGAACTGCCGGTACTTGCTGCTGTGGAATTATTAACATTTCATTCTGGATTGTATATTAATATCGGTTGTCCTATTTATTGAAAATCGTAAATTTCTTTTTTTTTTTCATTGGCTAAACGAGAATCGGTTAGTCACGTGTATATGAGCTTACTGTATATTGTTCTACTTATCAACTTGGTTTGGGATGTCGTTTGAAATAGCAAGCAACTTTATGATATCTGTGCACTGAACTTGTGCTGTTTGACTCTGACATGTTATCTAAGTTGAGACTCTTAAGTAAAATTGAAACTGACTTTAAAATTGTAGTCGCAAAAATTGGATAGTAATATTGGTCGATGCATGTTAAATCTGTACGTGTTGCTGGACATCACCATTATTTTTTTCCTTATATTTTAATTCTTCTAGTCCGACTTGTATATTGTGGCATTTAAATTCAAATTCTGAACGTTTATTGTGGCATTACAGATTCTAGTGACGGGGCATTAGAAAACCCTTTTCTGAACAAAAAATCAGATGATGATGGAGGAAATTCCATTTACAATTTTCTTTACCCTAGTAAAGAGCTCCTCCCAGACGATAAAGAAATGAGTATATACGACCATTTGGAAGAATTAAGAGAGAGAATTTTTATCTCGGTTTTGGCTGTCGGAGGTGCTATGGTTGGCTGTTTTGCATTTTCAAAGGATCTAATTATGTTCCTCGAATCACCAGTGAGAGAACAAGGTGTTCGGTTTTTACAATTAGCACCTGGAGAATTTTTCTTCACTTCTCTAAAGGTTTGATCTCATCCTAACTTTTGTTCTTCACTTAATTTAGTCATTATATCATAAAAATCTGCTTTCATCACCACTGGAAAATCCAACAGTTGCAACTTTCCATGCACTTAGTTGAAGTTTATCGAAATTATGGTAGCTGAAATTGGCACCTATATGTAGCCACGCACATTCTTTGACGGCTATATTAATCCATAATGGCAATTTATTTACTTTCCAAATCCCAATGCTAGACTAAGTATAGTACAGTCGGATGAGATGAGGCTCGGAAGATATTGTGAAGGATCTGTAATAACTCTATCTTGCTTTAATAGCTGTTAAATTGAGTTATCCTGTTTTCCCATTTTTGGCAGGGAAACAGTATCGTAATTAGTGCCCATACTTGGAAATATTAATATTTTCTTGGTCTGAAAATTTTAATTTGTGCGGCAAAATAAAAGTAAAATGTGGATCTTTTGTGCAGGTATCTGGATACTGTGGGCTTCTCTTAGGTAGCCCTGTAATCCTGTACGAGATCATAGCTTTTCTCCTCCCAGGTTTGACCAGGTCAGAGAGACGGTTTCTTGGGCCAATCGTGCTAGGTTCCTCTATCCTTTTCTATTCGGGCATCGTCTTCTCTTATTACGTTCTCACCCCTGCAGCATTGACATTCTTCGTCAATTATGCTGAAGGGGTAGTTGAGTCACTGTGGTCTATCGATCAATACTTCGAGTTTGTTCTTGTCCTCATGTTCAGTACCGGATTATCTTTCCAGGTAACTTTTAGTAATTTTCATTTGTTACTGTTAAAATAATTTTCAGTTAAAATGATTTTTGTTTTTGTTTTCATTGTATATTCAGGTACCAGTGATACAGCTGCTGTTAGGGCAACTAGGGTTAGTTTCGTCCGAACAAATGTTGTCGGTTTGGAGATACGTGGTGGTGGGTTCGGTAGTTGCAGCTGCTATACTCACACCATCAACGGACCCTCTTACTCAGATGCTCCTAGCGGGCCCACTTATGGCTCTTTATTTGGGCGGTGCTTGGGCGGTTAGGGTTCTTGGCCGCTGAACTCCCGTTTTTTAAGGTCAAATTTACACATTTGCCACTACTCTATAATTCCCAGAAATACCACTAGTGTATGTTTGTTTGAAGAAAGACAGTATTATATGTATGTTTATTGTTGCCTTTTTTACTTTTAATAGAAATGTACTCTACTGTATTATTGTAGAAAAGAAGTACTGGTAAAAAATATTTAAGGAGTGTTCAAATAAAGCATAGTATTCAATTATTATCTTCTGTAAGGTTGAAACTGCCCCTTACTAGGGAGTTCATTTTCTATTATTTATTTTATTAATAAATATTTTGTACTGGTATTTGTATCTAATAAATATTGAGATATTCGTATTGATTGTCAGTGCCAAATCTTAGATCGTGTGGCCAACAAAATTTGACTTTAAAGTGCTTAAATTACAAATTAGGATTGTATTTCATGGTTTATACTATGCTATATTAGGTGAAATACAACGGGTACATCTTTTGTCACTCATAAGTGCACAAACGCACGTCTATATTGGTGTGTGTAGATTAACTCATAAGTGCACAAACACACGTCTACATTGGTGTGTGTAGATTAACGGGCAAAATTCACCTGGTGTAACCTTCATCGGTTACGGCATAAAAACCTTCATCGGTTACGGCATAAAAGTAACCACATTTGGTCATTTAGTAGTCGGAGGACTTGTAATATCACATCCGCTGTACATACAAGATTTCATTAGTTTAGAATTAAGTGTATAATAATTCGACTTAATAAAAACACTAAGCGCAATACCTTTTATATCACAACTGTCAACTGAAAAAAAATATATATACTACCACCATTGTGGGGACAACTTGTGTCAGATATTTTGGTTTATATGTATGTAACTGATGATGGCTTCTCCAAATTGATATATTCCCAAATGATCACTATATTATTGTTATAAAATTAAACAAAAGATTTTAATATAATTAAAGTCTTTGGCTTTGGCTTTGGCTTATGTACTCTTCATTTTCCCAGGTCCCAAGCTAATAATTAATTAGAGGGAGAAAGAAAATGAGTGGAGAAGAATCAGATCATCCTCTACTTCGGAACGACGATTTTTGCACGGAACGGGAAATTCACAATTACGAAGACGGAAGAACGGGATTTATCGAGGAAGGGAAGAGGCAGGTGAGATTAGCAGTGCCTCTGATAGCAGTAAATATGCTCCATTACTGCTTGCAAGTGATATCTGTGATGTTTGTCGGTCACCTTGGGGAACTTCCTCTCTCCAGTGCTTCCATTGCTACTTCTTTTGCTTCTGTCACAGGCTTCAGTGTACTGGTAACTATATCATTCCCCCCCCTCTTCAATTGTGTTTATTGCATTCAGCTCCTCTATGTTTACTTTAATTGTTAAAAAGACCCTTGCATTATTGATATTGGTGAAAAACACCCTGTAATACAACTTTTTTAGCGAAGTACCCCAGACCTGACCGTTTAAGGGGTCGCGTGCTAAAAAAAATGCGTTATGAAGAGATTTTTGCTAATATTAATAGTATGAGGACTTAAATGAACTTTTTTAGCAATCTATAAAACACAAGGGACTGAATGCAATAAACTCTATTTGATTACATAGATGTGATAACTAGAACCATGAACATGAAATTAAAATATTGTGCTCTATTATAAGGGTGAATTACAGTTTTCATCCCTCAAATTTGTACCGATTTCACATTTGATCCCTCATATTTACAAAAAACACATTTTGTCCATCATGTTCCAATAATTTAACATTTTTTTTCATTTTCGTCAATTTAACGTTAGTCTATTAGTTAAGGCAGTGATGAGCACACACCTGTTTAGAATTTGATGAATTGAGATATTTGGAAACAATATTTTTTATTATTTATTTTTTTATTCGAATTTTAAGTAGAGTCTTAGTCTATTTCTCCATTCTTTCTAGATTCAAACAAAATCAAAAATCAAATAAATTCATAGGTTTGATACCTTATCTCGAACTCATGTTTCAAAGAAATATTCAATCACATAAAGTCGACAAATGAAGTGGGTTAATTAAAAATTCACAGGTGAAAGCATGTTTGATTACGTTAGTTTTAACGGGAAACTGACGGAAATGACTAAAAGTGCTGAACTTTTGCAACATAAGGGACCAAATGTGTTTTTTTTGTGAACATGGGATCAAATTTGAAATATGTGCAAACTTGATGGACAAAATCTGTATTTTCCCAAAATGTAATGCAATGCTAATATAATAGAGCACAAAATTTTAAGAAAAAATCCAATTTACAAAAATAAAACACGAATTTGCTAAAAGAAAAAGTTATTAAGCCCCAAAATATTATCAAAATGTAGTAAAAATGGGTCTTTTGAGGACCTAAACGAAGTGATTCGTCGTAGATCGTGGTCGTTTTGTCAATAAAAGAACATATGGGGACTTTCTAACAATTAGATAAAATATAAGGGTGTCGAATGCAATAAACCCTAATTCATAATTTCTCAATATTTTTTGAAGTTAGGAATGGGAAGCGCGCTGGAAACTCAGTGCGGGCAAGCCTACGGAGCAAAGCAATTCCACATGCTCGGAATCTACACTCAGCGTGCAATTCTCGTTCTCCTCGCCCTAACCGCCGCCCTCGCCGTAATCTGGTACAACACCGCCTTCATTCTGGTGAATCTCGGCCGTCAGGATCCAGAAATCTCCGCCGGCGCCGGCGATTTCAACCGTTGGATGATACCCGGCCTCTTCGCATACGGAATCCTCCAATGCCTCGTCCGATTTCTGCAGGCGTAGAACATCGTCGTACCTATGGTGGTAACCGCCGCCGTGAGTGCCCTAATCCATATTTTCGCGTGCTGGATTTTGGTGTTTGAATTCGAGCTCGGAAGTAGAGGTGCTGCTCTGGCTAATGCGGTGTCGTATTGGATTAATGTGATTCTGTTGGGATTGTATATTAGGTTTTCCTCATCGGAGCGCGTGAAAAGCACTTTCACCGGCTTTTCGAGACGAGCTTTTGATGATGTGCTTGGTTTTCTGAAGCTGGCAATTCCTTCTGCTGTAATGATATGGTATATATATACCTAGTTTTATGGTTACTCTGTGCATTACATTACATATACATACATATTACATATGTGTGTGTGTGTGTGAAATACTAATGAGTTTCGTGTTGATTAATTCGGAGTTTTGTAGCTTCGAGTATTGGTCGTTCGAAATGGTAGTTCTTTTATCCGGTCTCCTCCCGAATCCGAAATTAGAGACATCGGTATTATCAATAAGGTTTAATTTTGTGTACTATTTAAAAAAAAAAAAAAGTTTTGTTTTTTACACTATTTTCGCACGTTTTTTGAGTTGTTCTTAAAACAGCCTTAGCACATGTTGGATGGTGTATATGATCTCAGTTGGCCTTGGTGGTGCAGTAAGGTAATTAATTAGTCATAAATTCATGCACTCAAAAAAAAAAAAAAAAGGTTAATTGCTTTTTTTCAAGAATTCCCCATGTGATTAATTACTTACTTTTGCTAATTGCACTGATTGGGGGAAAAAAAATCCAGCACGAGGGTTTCGAACGAGCTGGGAGCTGGAAATCCGCAAGGTGCGCGTTTAGCAGTGTGTGTAGCAGCAGTAATCGCCACGTCAGAGGGTGTAATAATTGGAGCGAGTACGATTTTGGTTCGACATATTTGGGGAAAACTGTACAGCAATGAAGAGGAAGTAATCGCGTACGTTGCTCGAATTATGCCTCTGCTTGCACTCTCGGACTTTTTGGATGGTTTTCAATGTGTGCTATCAGGTAGTAAAAAGAATGTAGGTATAATTTGTGTTTTTAACATATTTTTTCTAATTAAGTAACTATTAATAATTGAATTTCAGGAGCTGCAAGGGGATGCGGATGGCAAAATTTATGCGTAGTCGTAAATCTTGGAGCTTATTACGTTGTGGGAATTCCTTGCGCAGTGATCCTCGCTTTCGTCTTTCACATTGGGGGCATGGTAGGTCAATTTAAAATTTCGAAACTCAAAAAAAAAAAAAAAACTTCAAAAATCGGAAGCTTTCGGATCAGAAATCTGCGGACTTCGAAATTCCAATTTTTCAGTCACCTATGATGTACATAATCAAACAATCTAGATTTTTACGAGGGCTTCGTCAAATGGTCGTGTTTGTAGGGGCTTTGGATGGGGATTATATGCGGGCTTTCGGTTCAAGCGTTGGCACTGATTATCATTAATCTGTGTACTAATTGGGATCATGAGGTGATAATTAATTTAATTCTCCACTTTGTTTCTTGCCTTTCTTTTTGCACAAACAGAGCTTCAATTTATTATCGTGTTATGTTTATTGTGATGATTTAGGCGATGAAGGCAGTTGATCGGGTTCGCGAAAACGACACAGGTTCCGAACGAAACTAGAAAGCTCATTCATGTCAAAATTGATTCATCAAGACAAGAATTAATAATAATTGTAGATGTATTTTGTTTTAAATCACACTTGTTTATATAATTAAATTTGCACTTTTTTCATAAACTCATATGTTGTAGACTACGTAGCAGTAGCACGGAAACTTCAACTTCAACTTCAACTTCAACTTTTTATATTAGCGTTTCGTAAACCTAATGGGTCATTTTGTAATAAAAGTTAGAAATATGTTTTTACATTTTAATGATCAATTGCAAACTCTGAGTTGATAATAATATTTTTTTTTGAATATATTTGTATCGAAATATATAAAAATATAGTATATTTATATATATACCCGTATACTTTTAATATTTACCCGTATTTAATATTTAACTGCACAAAAAGTCCATGTGATAAAATAAATATCACTAGAACCCCTCCCATGTGTTTTAAATAAAACGTTAAACTTTTACATCGTGGCAAATTGTGTTTGAACTAAATAAAATGCAAATCTCACAAACACGAATACATATATATATATATATATACTAGGGGAGCCGCACCGCGCTATGCGCGGTACGAAATGCCCCGTGGACATAGATAACAAAATTACAATAGACATTGCATATTACAAGAAGACATTATCGTATATTCTAAGCAAGCGCAAAAGTTGGAGTTATGTTTCGTACAAATATATATAATTCCAAATTGTTCAAACTGTTTCATTCAAATTGTATGAAAATGCGGAAAAATTGCATGCCTAGCTCGTATTGGCTTCTCCAACAGTTGCAAATAGCAATCCTCGGTTATAGGACTTGGTTGACAGATGTACCACAATATTCATCTTCAACTGGCATGGGCTCATGAGCTTTATCAACGAAAAAAAATGTAACAAAATTTAGCCACAATAGTTGAATCGAAACTGAGAACAAAAACATAATTGATTTGTACGACTATTAGTTTACCTTCACCAAAAAGCTTCCTAGCACCAATGGTTATCTCGGGAGTCCCATAATCACTACGGAAATCCTCGGTTGCAGAAGAATCTATATGACGAGGTTGTTTGTTCAATCGTTTTTTCATTTCTCTTGGTCCACCTCTAAAAGAGGAAGGCAGCAAAAATAATTTCCCAACATTTGCGAAGTCATTTTCTCCTTAGATACCCAATGAATCAACTATTTCTTGAATCGGTTTAGTTCGAAGTTCTTTCTGAAGTTGTCCACAATCCAAACGAGATTCTTCCAACTTAACATATGACTCAATTGCACGATATCCAAAGCGAGCTCTCCGAGTGTTGAGTTCTCGTTATTTTGAAGAAGTCACAACTATACATATATATCAAAAGGCATTAATTATTTGCAGAAAATGCAAATTAAACCAAATTACTTTAAGTTATTGTGGTTCTAGTTATACAGACACAAAGCAATAATATGTCGCAAATTTAATCTTAAGCTTACGTACGCCAGCAAATAATAATGTGCATAACTTTATCGCACAAAATCTCAGATTGCAACGTCCACCAACCTTACATTTTTATGAATATGAAACTAAAGTATCGTGAGAAAATATATCTCGCAAGAAAATGATTGAGAATTCAACACATGATTTTAATTTAAATGATAATTAATACACTCACTTAAGTTAAATGTCCGTGATCGATACAACTGGATGTCGAAGGTGTATCAGAAATTTGCAAATGTTCAACAGAAAACTGAAATAAACACCCAAATATTTGTTTGCATAAATAGCTTCAATAAAATTTTCTAAAAGTGCAACAAAAAGATAAATGATTAATTTGTTTAAGAGTTTTGTTTAAAGCCATATATAATGTATGTATCAAAAAAATAATTTAGTTTATGCTTGGCACAAGCCGAAGACGATAAGTAATAGAGAGACACAGTAAATCAAAGAGGTCAACGACATTTTACGTACTAAGAGCAACTCCAGTGGAGGCATTAAATGGGGAATTAAATGGAATAACTTCTATTTTGATGCTCAAAAACATAAATTTTCGTCTCCAATGGGGGAATTAAATTGGTAGTTATTTTGATATTCAACTTCCCGAGATGCAAAAATGCATCCTGGAAAAAGAGGTATCAAAACATTAACTACCCAACAAACCAATTGAAAATTGACACGTGTCAATATTAAATATATTTATGCTTATATTTAAAATTAGATGATTCATTTAATGCCTACGGTTGGAGTAAATGAGTATCAAAATAATAAAACAAGTATCAAATTAATATTTGATGATCGATTTTGATACTTTACCATTGGAGTTGCTCTAATAACACAAAATAAGAAGATGAAAAACAACTCCGTTAGGCCATGTTTTTTTTTTTTTTAAACATAAACATTAAACTTACTAAAGATGAAATTAAATTAAAAGGTCATGAATTAATCATTTGAAATAGTTATTTCATTAATTAAAGTGAAGATACTAAGTTTTAGATATTACTTCAAACTTAATAATTTTGAGTTAATTGAAAAATAATTTAATAATATACAAAAATGAAGATATTAATTCTTATTACTTTTAGATAATATACTAATATAAAACATAATAATATATTAAAAACATAAAATGGAGATAATAATTCTTCAAACTAATTCTTATAAGCTTTATTTTCAATGAATATAACAAATTTTATAATTAAAGTAAAAGCATATAAATTAATACTTACCAAAGAAAAATAGAAAACTAAAAATTAAGGCCTGCAAAATTGCGCAGAGCATTACATGCATGTGGCTAGGGGTGGGCATTCGGGTCGGGTTATTCGGGTATAACCCGACCCGGTCGGGTATTACCCGACCGGGTCGGGTAATTTTTTACGTAACCGGGTTTTTCCCGGGTTCGGGTACCCGGTGCTCCCAAACCGGGTCGGGTCCGGGTATCATTACATGCATGTGGCCCATGAGAAGAAAAGCAAACACGTTTTTCGGTCGAACCAAAAATAAGGTATTAAATAAAAGTCTAAATTAAATTGAATTTGCACGTGAAAATGGAAAAGAAAACACAATACGGCGTCGTTTAAGGGTCAAACAGAATTAAAAAAATTGGAAAATATATTAGGAAGCACTGTAGAAACTTTCCTACACATTTATTATATAAGATATATATATATACATAAATGATGATAGTGATGGTGATCAAGTGGGGGCAGTAGTATACCTAATACATACATGATATGCCATTGAAAACCAAACCCATTTCTCGTTGATCAGTTCTCCACAAGCAAAAAAAAAAAAAGAAAAAACACACACAGTACTGTGTGCAGTGAGTCACAGGCAAAAAAAAAAAAAAAAAGGAAAAGATCGATGGAGGATGGTTTGCTGCTTCTGGTTAATAAAGAGAGAGATAATAATATAGATATAGGATGTGGGGTGATAGTTGAAGAGATGAAGAGTGTGGGTTATTTAGCAGGACCGATGGTGGCTGTCACTCTATCAAACTATCTTCTGCAAGTTATATCAATGACAATGGTTGGTCATTTGGGCGAACTTTCTCTCTCTAGCACCGCCATTGCCATGTCTCTTGCTGGTGTCACTGGTTGGAGTCTCCTTGTATGTCTTCTCTCTCTCTCTCTCTAGATCTCTCTCTCTCTCTCTCTCTCTTCATCTTTTTTTTTTTTTCATTATGAAATTTGAGCTAAATAATTTTCTAGCTTTAATTTTCTCTACGTTGACAAAAGTACTAATCTACCACCATCTACCTCAACTACCCTATTTTATTACTAATATTTTATACTTATGGATATAATATAATATTATTTCAAATTAAATCTTAAAATTAATATTTTTTAATACAGAGACATATATGTGAGTTAAAGGTACGTGCTTGTAGTTAGTTGACAATCCTATGTAGTGTTTATTTTTTTATTCTTCGTCCAAACTAAACGCAGATACACATGGATGTGAGTGTAATTATATGTAGATCAACGGCTGATAATGACTCCGGTGTATTTCATCAAATAAACAGATAGTAATTTTGTCCTCTGTGTGTGTGTGTGTGTAGAGAGTAGAAATTTTAATAAGTGATTAGTAATCAATGTTGAATTATTATCTCTTGTGTAATATAATCAACAGTTAGGCATGGCGAGCGCTCTCGAAACCCTAAGCGGACAAGCTTACGGAGCCGAGCAATACGAGAAAATCGGGACGCAAACTTACACCGCCATTTTCTCTCTCATCGTCGTATGCATTCCTCTCTCCATTCTTTGGATTTGCATGGGAGATGTACTAGTACTTTTAGGACAAGATCCCTTGATTTCGCGCGAAGCCGGAAAATTCATAGTGTGGCTTACTCCGGCTCTCTTCGGTTACGCAACTCTTCAACCCCTCCTTCGGTACTATCAGATGCAAAGCTTGATAACTCCCATGCTTATAAGCTCGTGCGTCACCGTATGTTTCCACACGATCCTGTGTTGGTTGCTCGTTTTTAAGTCCGGATTGGGGAATATTGGAGCTGCTATAGCCATGAGCCTTTCGATTTGGATGAATGTGGTCATACTCGGTTTGTACATGAAGTTCTCGGCCAAGTGCCGGAAAACTCGCGCTCCGATTTCTATGAAGATATTCCATGGGGTTGGGGAATTTTTTCGGTTTGCGGTTCCTTCTGCGTTAATGGTTTGGTATGTAATCAAATTTTCACTAGCGAATTTATTTTTTGATATTTTGCCCCGTCAGAGATAAAATTTTGGCTCTGTCACTACTAAAGCGCATTCACATGCCTCAAATGTTTACCTAGCTAGTATTTTCATTGTTTTCTTGATCCAACCGCAATCTTAATGTTCTTGTTTGTTTTCATTCAACATTTGACGGTACGGTGTTGTAGTCTCGAATGGTGGTCGTATGAGCTAGTTATCTTGATGTCTGGGCTTTTGACAAACCCTCAACTCGAAACCTCGGTGCTGTCTGTTTGGTAAGTTCCCCGTGATCGAGCATTGTACATGACTACATGGTAGAAACTAATGCCTTAGGGTTTAGGGCTAAGTTGGTAAAAATTGATTTTTCTAATGAATGCCGATCTTGTGATTTTTGAACAGCATGAACACCGTATACACACTTTCCGGAATTCCATATGGATTGGCCGCTGCTGGAAGGTATATTCACGGCTCCCTTTTTGTATACTGATTCCTTCTTTACAACTAATACAAATTTTGAAGTTGTTATTGATCTAATATAAATTACGCAGCACGAGAATTTCGAATGAGTTAGGAGCTGGAAAACCAAGGGAGGCTCGTATATCTCTCATTGCTCTAATGCTTCTTGCATCGATAAGCGCGATAACTTTGAGCACAATCCTCTTTGCTACCCGCAACGTTTTCGGCTATGTTTTTAGCAACGAAGCGGAAGTTGTGGACTATCTCTCAAACATGGCTCCTCTTCTTTGTTTTTCTGTTATACTCGACAGTCTTCAAGGGAGTCTCGCAGGTTCGATATTTCGTTTTTCTTTTTTTGCAGCAAACCCCGTTGTAATGTTTCGAAAAATCAAAAGAATGCTAATAGAAATAACAGAACAGATCAAGTACCGAGGTGCCGAATATAATTTTTTACGTTTCTTGATAGGCGTTGCTAGAGGATGCGGGTGGCAAGATATCGGAGCTTATATCAACCTAGCTGCGTTTTACCTATTCGGCATTCCGATAGCTGGAATATTGAGTTTCTGGTTCAGTTTTCGAGGAAAAGGTCTATGGGTCGGAGTACTATCTGGTGCCACAATGCAGACACTCATGCTAGGAATAAAAGCAAGTTGCACAAACTGGGAAAAAGAGGTATTTTCCCTTTTAACAATTTAAATTAATAAATAAAATCATTTTTAATTTATGTTATTGTGAAAGCAAATGGATTGATTTCAAATAAAATTTTCACTCTGCAGGCAGATAAGGCAAAGGAGAGGCTGGTTCAGGCGGAGTCTTTGTCAGTTGAAGGTGGACTTGCTTGAAGAAATGTTAGTAAACAAATCGACCTTTATACAGCGTAAATGCGTGTTTTTGTAGTTTAGTGCAGACAAAGAAACAATAATCAAGAACCGAGAAGCCACTACAATTTTTGTCGATACACTTACCTTCTAAATTGAGAAAGGAATCTGAAACTATGATCGTTCCTCTTTCTATTGACCGTTCTACAACTTAAAACCATGTTCTTGACATTTTGTGCAGACAAAGAAACTGCAATCAAGAATCGAGAAGCCACTGCATTTTCTTTTGCAAGACACTTAAACTTCTAAATGTTCATACATTCACATCATTTGCATGCAAACTTTCAAGACAAAAAAATAAAATAAAATAAAATAAAAAAACCGAAAACCAACCCTGATGTCTGGAATTTAAGAACACTCGACAGAAGAGAAGTTGGAGCAAGGCGGCTCGTCCCCTTGAGCGTTGATTTCAGTAGCAACATTCTCCGGTGATGGACAAGGTTGTTCTCCGTTTTCGTTCTCCTCTGGACTGAAATTAATTGGAAACTTAGTCACTCTCGGTTTATCTGCTAGAATATTTCTTTGGACCTTATCGACTAAAACCTTCTGAGGCGGCTCTTCTTTTAGCTGCTCATCCTCGTAATCATTATTCACGTAATATCCTACTCGAATGAACTCTTGCCCCTGGTAGGAGCAAGTTAGGAGTAGCACTGTAACTCCGATAATATCTTCCTCACGGATTTTCGACGGGTCTGGAGAATCGGCCTGTAAAATTTCGAGCAATAATTCATGCATGAAAAACAAAACAAAACAAATAAATTGTAATGGTAACTGACAAGTGTGACTCTTTACCTGAAAAACGAAACGGTAATTACCAACATTGACAGGGCCGACAAGCACACTTTCTAAAACTTGGTCGTAAGTTTCATCCTCGGCTGATCCCACGTAGATTAGCTTCCATTCCAAATCTGAGACGAATGGCAAGTATCAAAATTTTGTCCAGGAAAAATTTCGATTTGCAAAAAATCCATGTAAGAAGATATCTAATGCAGCAGTTCCTTTACGATTCCAGTTATAAGCACACGAGAAGACACGATCACCAAAAACTCGCCTAGCTACGATGCAACTTTTTGGTTCGACAGTACGTACTCAAAATATTTATTGGGTATTAAATCCTAAATACAATCATCGAAGTACACTAGGTTTTAGAAGCTCGTTCGGTTTAAGGAACAGAGGTAATAGTAATCTCCCGACAAATTTACGACATGAAAACGAATTGTACTTTGAGCTAGTTCTTATTGATTACCAATTTCAAACCTAATTAGATCAATCTTTCTTTCATCTGGTAGCATTTTAGATCTCGCAATCGGAAACGCAAACCCACTCAATTCGACCACCAAATGTCAGATTCCCCAACCAGTACTTACAATTTATACGCAAACATTAAAATCCCCATTGCATCATATGAAATTTATCAGAAGTGTAAAACTTGCGTCAAAATTACACACACACACACACACACACACACAAATCGCAAGCGCGTAGAATCAAGCAAATTAAACTTTTGAAATTTCTAATTTCCGTACCGTCTTTGAGGGGAGACAAGCACTCGTACGAGATTTCGAATTGGAAGGGGCTGACGAACGGAGCCGGATTGTCCAAAACGGCGACGTTCTTCAAATTCACGGCGCTCATCGTCTAATCGGCGGCGGATTTTCAGCTTCAACCTTGCGGATTGCAGAGTAAAACGAACCGCACAAACGAAACCCTAGGAAAGAGAAGCGTCGAGGCAGTGAGGGGGGGGGGGGGTAAGCAGTTTTCAAATGAAGAATTTAATTTAATTTAAACATGGATAAAAATGGCAATCTTTGGTTTGGCGGGAAAATTTTGAGCTGAGAACAATGCAACCGCCAAAATGAAAGGCACTGGGACGAAATCGTGTAATACAATCGCCTGATTAATTTGACTGAAAGCGTTAGCGCGATTACAGCTCGCAAGGGAAAAAGTTGGAGAATATAACAGGAGGGAGATAAATTACACCGATCACCCTTGAAGTTGAGTATAATTACATATGAGCCCCCATCATATTTAAATAATTACATAGATCTCCATCAAGATTTAATTTCAGTATTTAACTCCCATCTAATCGTTTATTTACTTTAAATAATATTTTTATCTATCATTAAATATTGAATGAATTATATTGCTCTTCCCTAAACATGTAGAACACTTTATGTTGAAAAATATTATGAAAACCTTCTTAAAGTCTAATTTCATTTAAAAAATCGAATATAAACTCGTTCAACATAATATTTATTAAATAAAAAACTATTAAAAAAAATCATATTGAAACACAATTTTGTTCTTATCTTATGTATGCGCAACTAGGGGTGTATATGAGTTCGGCCGGATCGATAAAAGCTCGATCCCGAACTCGAGTTTTCTGATGCGCCAAATCCGAATTTATTCTCAGTTGTACATAAGCTTGTGAGCCGGCTCGCGATTTTTTTTAATTAATATAAAATTCAATAAATAATTTTAAAAATAATTGAAGTTCATCATTTATTTCAGATTTTTTATTTTAATTTACAATAGTAAAAAAAATAATAATATTAATAAATATAAAATACAAAAAATGGGCTAAGGTTCTAGATCGAGCTCGAACTCACCAAAACAAGCTCAACTTAGCTCGAGCTCGACTCGTTTACACCCCTATATATAACCAGTGGCGAACCTATATACGGACACGAGGGAGAGAGTGATTTTCTGAAGTACTTTCTTTTAATATTTATATAAATATGTATTTTTGTCTCCCATCTTTTTTCTTCCCCTATTAGTAAATTTATATCTTTTCCCTAATTGTTATTTCACTATAAAATAACATTACTAAAATTTATAATATTTTAATTACAAATTATAAATGTATACTTAACTTAGCAATTTTGTTGAGTAACTCTAGGAACAATCGAGGGCCTTGCCTTCGAGTCCCGATTTTTTAAATATTTTTTGTGTCTGCTATTTTCAGAAAAACATTGCCTTCCATACATAATAACTTGGGTTCGTCCCTCTATATAACACTAAAATTATATTGTTCATCTTAAAAAAATCGCCTTTCATAGCAAATTGGGGATCACACACGATTAAATATAGATCAAAGTTCAACTTTGATGGAATTTTAGGTCAATTTCAAACTTGATGTGGTCTAATGTAAATAGGACTAACTTATAAGTAGGTTAGTGTAATTTATCCCTAAAATAAATATTTCAATGAGGGTAAAAATATAATTATTTAAATTTGCATCGAAATTTTAACCTAAATCAAACATACGGAATTTCAAAATAATTCCAAAACCACTTATTCTAAACACGCTACCAAACATTCTCCTTAATTTCAATTGAAAATTTTGAATAGTTCTAAATAATTTCATTATAGCAAAGTTTATATCTATCATAATACAATTAAAACTCTATAAATTAATACAGTCTCTGCACTAGCAAAATTATATTAATTTAGAGAAATATTAAATTATCGAACTTATAATTTAGTAATTTTTTTTTACTTAATTGGGACCGAAAGAAACTATTATTTAAACAAGGTTCTACTGTAACTGAAACAAAATTAATTCAAGAACTTAAAATTTAAAATATATCTAGTACATATAAAATTAATAAATCTATTATTATGAAAAAAAAAAAGAAAATAGCACCAAATTATTTCATATAGAGAGCATCTTGAACAAAGTCAACGGACCATGGCTCAGCAAGCTGCCAGGTGGTTGATTTTGGTCCATCCAGATCCAGACCATCGTTTATTAACCCCTTTTTTTATCTAATCCCGCATCACAGTAACACCACAGTGAAAAATAAGAAATTTACTCCGCGGTCAAAAACTTCTAAAACAGGTCGCCACTCCCCCACCCACTCTCTCTCTAGATTATAACATCGTCTCTCATCAAACCCTAGCATTTTCGTTCTCTACCATCTATTCATTTCTCTCTCTAGAAACCCCAATCGTCAACTCCTCCGCCATGTCTTCCAGGAGGCTCCTAGCCTCGATCCTCCGATCGTCCGCCGCACGCCGCACCAGATCTCCATTCCCATCCGCCCCGAGGCCCAGCCCCCGCCCCTCTCCCGCCGGCCACTTCCTCCATCGCGTCGCCGCCCACTACGCCACCTCCGCGGCTGCTGCTCCCACCACCACCCCGTCCAAATCTCCCAGCGGCGTCTTCAGCGGGAAGATCACTGATGAGTTCACAGGTGCTGGATCGATCGGGAAGGTGTGCCAGGTCATCGGTGCTGTCGTCGATGTCAGATTCGTCGACGGCTTGCCCCCGATTTTGACGGCGCTTGAGGTCTTGGATAATCAGATCAGGCTTGTTTTGGAGGTCGCTCAGCATTTGGGAGAGAACGTTGTGAGGTGTATCGCTATGGACGGTACTGAGGGGTTAGTCAGGGGCCAGCGCGTGCATAACACTGGCTCACCTATTACTGTGAGTTTCGAAGATTTTCGTTTTTGTTCTATCTGTGGACTGAGATTCGCTTAAATATTCATTGTTTTTTATTTTGTTTTTCCTGTTGTGGATATGAAAAGTGTTTGAGATGTTTGACTAGATCTGGTCTATGATGTGGTTCGGAGGTGCTTATAGCTTGATTTATGGTGTACTTTGGTTTAGGTGCCTTTGGATTATTTATTTCTGTTCATTTTATACAATTTGTTCGTAGGTAGAACAACCTTTTGAATATTTGGCTTTGGTATATTGAGATTTTTGTTTTTTGTTCATGTTATGAGCTTTGCCAAGAGTAATTTCGTATATTATGGTTTGATTAATGTCACTGAAGCAAGGATGCTTCGTTTTGGAATATTAAGTTCTCCTATTAGTATGTTAAAGCTATTGGTAATATGGCTTTTGCATTTCCTGAGTGATTGGTTTTCGTTGGGTAATAGTACCTCCTTTGCACATCTATAAACATTTGCAATTTAGGGTTTGAATTAGAATTCTTTTGTTGGGTTTCAATTGGCCAATGTGTGCTTGTTTGAAGTGTATGGCTGCTTACCTTGATTATGCCTTGATTATGCTTATTTTGTTTGTCAAATGTCAATTGCTTAATATTTCTCATGTCAATCATAGGTACCTGTCGGCAGAGCCACTCTAGGTCGCATCATTAATGTCATTGGAGAGCCCATTGACCATAGAGGCGATCTTCGTGAGTGAATATGGCTTTTCGTTTTAAGTAATCTTATATATATTGGATAAGGGTTTAATTTTACTGACAAATGGAGTATGATGCAGACACCGAGCACTTCTTACCAATTCACCGTGAAGCTCCGGCCTTTGTGGAGCAAGCAACCGAACAACAAATTCTTGTCACTGGTATCAAGGTACTTCTGATGAACCCTATTTGATGAATGAAGTTCGTATTACCTTCTATTCCACTCTGCTTTACGTTTATTTTGAGTTTCATTTAAATGCTAAACTACCTTTTTGTATCTGTAAATTCCAGGTCGTCGACCTTCTTGCCCCATACCAAAGAGGAGGAAAGATTGGGCTGTTTGGTGGTGCTGGAGTCGGGAAGACCGTGCTTATTATGGAACTTATTAACAATGTCGCAAAAGCTCATGGTACATTGCTCTTTTGTGCACTAATTATCTTTGCTCTCGCTTGCTTAACTTTCTGACATTTTACAAATTACCTTTCTCTTGTCAGGTGGTTTCTCTGTCTTTGCTGGTGTTGGAGAACGTACTCGCGAGGGCAATGACTTGTACAGAGAAATGATTGAAAGTGGTGTCATTAAGCTAGGTGAAAAGCAGGTTAGCATCAGATAATTTGAGAAAAAATGTTCATTTATCTAGTTTGATATGATGTTTGACCTCAAGTTTTCTCATCTTTATTATCAGTCTGAGAGCAAGTGCGCTCTAGTGTACGGACAAATGAACGAGCCCCCGGGTGCCCGTGCCCGTGTTGGACTTACTGGATTGACCGTGGCTGAACACTTCCGTGATGCTGAAGGGCAGGACGTGCTTCTCTTTATCGACAACATTTTCCGTTTTACACAGGTAAGCTTGCATCTTGTTTAACTATTCAGTGAGTATTACATACTTGTCTGCAATGTTTGCTTATGTTAATGTTTGTTGTCCCTTTTTCGATTGAACAGGCTAACTCAGAAGTGTCTGCTTTGCTTGGTCGTATTCCTTCTGCTGTCGGTTATCAACCTACTTTGGCTACTGATCTTGGAGGCCTTCAAGAGCGTATTACTACAACTAAGAAAGGTTCCATTACATCTGTCCAAGCCATTTACGTGCCAGCTGATGACTTGACAGATCCTGCTCCTGCAACCACCTTTGCTCATTTGGATGCCACTACTGTGTTGTCTCGACAGGTATATGACTTTTCTTTTACTTTGCTGTAAGAAATATTATTTGGGTAACTATATTAAATGAAGGTTTGTTTCTTTGCCGAGTATGGTTTTGATCTTTTTGGCATTATTGTTATTTTTGTTACAGATTTCTGAGCTTGGTATCTATCCTGCCGTTGATCCTCTTGACTCGACATCTCGTATGCTTTCCCCGCATATCTTGGGAGAGGGGCACTACAACACTGCCCGTGGTGTACAGAAGGTTCTTCAGAACTACAAGAATCTTCAAGATATTATCGCCATTCTTGGAATGGATGAGCTAAGTGAAGATGATAAACTGACAGTTGCACGTGCTCGTAAGATTCAACGATTCTTGAGCCAACCTTTCCATGTCGCAGAAGTTTTCACTGGTGCCCCTGGCAAGTATGTTGAGTTGAAGGAGAGTATTGTCAGCTTCCAGGTAAATGTTCTACCATTGAATATTATCGAATATTTTTTCATGCTACAAACTTCACATTGTTATCTGAAATTGAGAAGCTCGATAATTTTTTTTTTCTTGTGTAAGGAAAGTACTTGTAGATAATCTGGCATATATACATACTTTTTATTGGTTATTTCTAAGTTGACACTCTTAGGCTCTGTTTGGATCCAGAAAAGCCAAGTAAAAAGATGAAATGAGTAGGTAAAATATTTTTCTTCTTTGGTTAGGAGGTACAATACTAGGAAATAGATTTGGTGAAAATATGTTGTGACTAAAACAAGGAAAATAGATATTCATAAAAAAAGATTAGGAGAATTAGAAGTAAAACGTAGCAAGTATCTTCTTGCCCATAACCCCCATGGCAAAACCTCAACATGGATCAAGAAAATGATCTCCATAATCAATTGCATCACCATTTTCCTTAGGAACCAAACATATTAGAGATGTATAAATTCATTCTTTGTTTTTATTTACTTTCATTTTCCTGTTTTCGAAATTCAAGAACCGAACATAGGCTTTTTAGAGGCTTTGGTGAACTTGTATATCTTCATTTCATGTCTGTACTTCTCATACACCGTCTATATGTTCGTTTTGCTCATTGTGTTTGTTACTATACCTGGTATCTGTACTCTGATTGTGGTTCCTTTTGTACAAGTGAACTGTATTGTAAAAAAAATACTTGCACAATATATTTCGAACTATAACTTTGTCCTCTACTTCAAAAACATCTTTTTGGTTAACAAAGTTGTCGTAGGTTACCATTCACTGACGTGTTTCTTGATTGTTTGGAACAGGGTGTGTTGGATGGAAAGTACGATGATCTTTCAGAACAGGCATTTTACATGGTTGGAGGAATCGATGAGGTTATTGCCAAGGCTGAGAAGATTGCCAAGGAATCTGCTTCTTAGATAATAGATAATTGTTTTTTTAACGAATTCCTTTTGTTCTGCTTCGACTGATAATCGCGAAAATAATTAAGTTATGGCGATGCCATAAGGAGTTTTTCTTTCTTTTCTTCTTTTTGGGACCGAACTTTCGAAATCAATATGTTCCTGTTTTGTATGTACTCTGCGGGAAAGTGATACAGATGTGGAGCTAAGAGGCCCTCCCTACTGGCTACATAGCCTCCATTTGTTTTTAATTTTTATCGTGTGCCTTAATAAGAAGTGTTTACGATGGCAAATTTGTATATTTTCGTTTCAATTTTGAAATGTTGAATGCGCACAAGGTAAATGTTTAAATTTGTCACGTATCACTCAAAATGTTCGTCGAACTTGGCGTAATTTCAAATTTATATGTTCCTATGTTTGGTTTTCGATTGAAGTAACTGCACAGTATAGTTTGTCTTGTTATCGTACCTACCTAAATTCAGGTTTATTTATTTATTTAAAAAAAAATTATATATTGATTTTATCTGTAAGAAAAGTAGTTTTATAGAGTATTGGGTCAAAAAAATTGTAGTATTGGGTCAAAAAAATAAGTACTGTGTAAAAGAAATGTTCTCTTTAAATAAAATAATACTAGATTGAACTAGAATTATTAGGCTCTTCTACTTTGCACCCTTGAAATATAGTTTTTTAACATTTTGTCCCTGCAACAAAAGTAATAGCAATTTGCACCCTAGAAAATAATGTAATCACAAAAACCTATATGGATGTGATACGCGGAGCCTAATACAGCTCGAGTTTAACGCACGCGCACCTCAACAGCAACCCAAACATCAACCACCGTCCGCGGCGGCGCTTTCTATCCTCCTCTACGACCAACTCAACTGTAGAATATAGACACAAAGCTTTTTCCAAAAAAATGGCGGTTCTAATTCACTTGCCAAATTCCACCCCAACCCTTGGCATCCATGCATCACACATTTCCATATCTAAATCCTTACTCCGCCCATCCATGACTGTTTCCAAACTCCAGCCCCTCCGCCGTCTCTCCCACCATCTCCGCCGCCGCAGTCTCGCCGTCTCCGCCTCCGCCGTCCGCCAAGACACAACCCTCTGGACTCCCACCCCGCTGCTGCAAATCTCTCCCGCAGCCGAATCGCTATTCAACATCACCATCGACGTCTCGGAATCGCCCGAGCTCGCCGCCTCTTACACCAAGGCCGGCCAGTATTTGCAGCTCCGCCTTCAGGATTCCGACTCCAAACCCTCGTTCCTGGCCATCGCATCGGCGCCGTCGCTCGCCGCGTCGAAAGGCGTGTTCGAGTTTCTGGTGAAATCCGTCGCCGGTTCAACGGCCGAGCTCCTGTGCGGGCTCAATAAAGGTGATCTCGTGGAGTTGACTCCGGCCATGGGGAAGGGATTCGATATTGACCAAATATCCCCGCCGGAAAACTATCAAACAGTGCTAATTTTCGCCACCGGCTCTGGAATTAGGTAAAATTTGCTAAACGATGTCGTTTTGTTCTTTTGAATCAGAATATCTAACTTCATTTATATTAGATTAATTAAAAGATTCATGAACCATAATTGAACAGTCCATCCATCAGGTACATGTTTGGATCTTGTATTGCAATTTCACATTGCATGTAATAGCTAGTTCGAGCTTTTGTCGAGCCGGCTCGGCTCATTTACACCCCTAATCTATCTTTACTTGTTTGTTCATGATACGCACGCTCATATTTTTCCTTGTCTCGTATGAAATTGCTGTTGTATACCCGTTTCTTACTCTGTAACTCCATATATCATCCGGAATATTATTCAGTTTCTCTTTAACTTTATCAGAAAACAGTCGATATCGTATAGTGGCCATTTAATCTCTTCTTGAATGGACAATGTGTCGTGTAATAGGAAGTTAATTACTGCGATTGTTTTTGTGTTTCCTTTAATTCTTGTCCTTTTTTTTATTTTTTAAATATATTTTATTTATCATGTACTACTAGCCCAATCCGGTCTTTAATCGAAGAAGGCCTCAATGCTAATGTGAGATCTGATGTGAGACTCTATTACGGAGCTAGAAATCTTGATCGGATGGCTTATCAGGTATTTTACTGTCGTGCTTATTATCAATCACCATTCCCCCCTATACATGCGAGCAAAGGTTAAGACATGGAATATTCTCTACAGGACAAGTTTAAAGAATGGAAATCGTCTGGAGTCGATATTGTGCCTGTGCTGTCCCAGCCCGACGATAGTTGGACAGGGGAACGAGGTTACGTGCAGGTTTGTCAAACACATTTCTTTCGTTTAAGGAAATTTGTGATGCCTCCCTCGTGTGTATGCATGCATGCATGTATATATGTATGAATAAGTATGTTCTCACTCTATTGCTTTTGCAGGCTGCATTTACTAGAGAGAGAGGAAACTACGGCCCTCAGTCTACCGGAGCAGTTCTCTGTGGCCAAAAACAGATGGCTGAGGTTAGTAGTTCTTGGCCGATAATCAAGTTTACACAATTGTATCGTTTATTATCCTAACTAGGTTTTGCTCAATGCTGAACTGAATTAACGAGTACGTAGTCCTACTTGAAAGTGCTCTTATATTGTCATCCCTCGTTCGAAATTCTTGGTCAAAAGTTCAAAAATTAATATTTATTCTTGGTACTTCTTTTAAGACCTCTTCTTAGGATAAATCCCGGTACCGCTTTTAAATCTTGATATTTATACCTGACAAATAAACTTTAATGTTATTCCACTTAAAATGCGTTACACACATCATTTGTCCGTCTCGCTGTTTCCTAGCCATCTACACGAACGAGTGCATGCCAATCCACCTCATTTCAGATTGAGGACAATGATTCTATCAATAACCAAGGCTTATGTGAGCCTACTCGTAAATGTGATAGCTTGATAGAAATCCGGGTATTAGTTACGTGTGTTTGACAACAGCTAGTAGTAGGGCTGAAATGGCTAAAAAGATTGAATATTACTTGTCTACCTTGTCGCTCGACTATCCATCTTTAGCAGATCTACAAACACTTTGTAATTGAGTAAAAGATACACGTTATACTAACGAAGGTCGTTAAAAAACAGTCGGTCAAGAAAAGTGCTGGAACTAATACTTACAACAAAGTTGTACAGTCGAATTGCCTGAGTGGGTTAGATTATCTGCTATTTTCTTACATGGATCAGCTTTATTGCAGGAGGTGACTGCTGTTCTTGTAGCTGATGGAGTATCGAGCGACAAGATTTTGAAGAACTTCTAACAACCGTAAATTTTTGAGCTCTTCGTGTTGGTATATTATATATTTATACTTTTTTTGTTTTTTTTGTTTGTGCTTATAAAATCATAATCATTCATTCATTCAGAAGCTGAGCATCATCGGCTTTAAGTCACATAATACATGTAATATGAATAAATCCATCATATTATACTCGTAAATTTCGACCAACAAATATTTAGCTTGAGATGTGATTATTTTTTCGGTTTTTGAATTCATAATGTTTAATTATATCACCTATCACCCTTCATCGTCCAAAACCGAATGTGATCGAATCTGGTTCGTCTTCTTGATGATGTCAGGACGAAGCTCCGACGCGATCAAGTTTGAAGAGATATTTTATGTATCTTGCATATTATAGTGAAAAACATTAGCTGGTATATAGTTTGAGTGAACAATTCCATTTTTTTTTAATATAATTCCAATTCCAATCCAAAAAAATCGGAAAAATTCAGAAATTGGAATGGAAAAAATGTTTCAAAATCGGAACTTTTCGAATCGGAATCGACGGAAATTGGAACTTTCGTTCCAACTTGCACCCCTAAACACATCTAATATATGTATGACGGTATACCATCCACAAGATAGGAGTATAATATAAAGAAACTTACGTATTGGATAAATTTCGCTCTCGTGTATTGGGCCGAAATTGAATAATTCTAACAAATTCGACCCAATAAATTAATTACATTCCCCCATAATTCCTTCCCAACTAAGCGAAAAAAAATGAATTAACGAATTAAATAAAAAAAGCAACAACTAAGCAACAACACGTAAACGATACGAACAAGTCGCGCAAATATCAAAACCCCAAATAAAACGTAGTCGGAATTTCTCCTCATTGACTTTTAACTGCGCATAATTCATTTTGTTTGTATTTTAATTTCATCATTTATTCTTATTACTAATATACCCTTTTTCCAATCAACCGCTCCGCTCCGACCACTAAGCCATGGCGTCTCCGTCGTCGACCACCACCACCAACGTGATGCTGGCGATCTACGAGAAGAAGACAAACTCTCTCGACTTCTATCGTCCGCTGCGCAACTTCATCGTGGTCAATTACTCCGAGCGCGAGGCGCAGAATCTGGAGGACGATCTCGACACCTTGAAGCAGCTCCGCTCAGATGTGGAGCGAGGCGGCGCCGCTGATTCTCCGTCGGCGCGGCGTGACCTCCTGCAGAATTACTATAAAGCCCTCTGCGCGGTGGAGTCCAGGTTTCCGATTTCGCCGGACAAGGATCATGTCAATACGGTGTCGTTCACCTGGTTTGACGCGTTTAAGACTAAGCTGAAGGCTTCCCAGCAGAACGTACATCTTGGTAGGTGCTTCTGTTGAGTTGATTAATTGGAGACTTTTTTTTTCGTGCTTCGAAACTCTTTATTTTCACATTATTGGCCTGTGAGAGAATATGATTTGCCTATTTTTCGTTTTCGATGATGCAGTTTAGGTTAAAAGAGTAATTTAGTTATAAAGAAACGAAGTTAATTATGCGCGCTGTATAAGTGTATCAATTAGAGATGCTTTGTAATTACAATAATCAATAATGGCATCTGTTTCAATTTTAGGCAGAAACTCAACTTATGAAAATGTGAAGTGGGGGGAAACAAATTCATGCATAAGAATTTTGTAAGATTTAGTAGTTTTATGTCAATTGATGATCAGCAACCGTCCAGGAAAAAATAATAATTGTTCACTAGCAACCTTTCTTATTTCAATTTTGCTATGACCGAGATTATTTGACTAATATTCTGATTTGGCTTGTGTAGAAAAAGCTGCCGTGTTGTTTAATTTGGGGGCAGTGCACAGTCAAATGGGACTAAGTTTCGATCGGTCTGCAGTAGATGGAAGGAGACAGGCATCACATTCATTTATAGCAGCAGCTGGGGCATTTGCATTTCTGAGGGATAATGTGTCAATGAAAGCCTCAGTCGGAAGTTCAACAACGCTGGATGTTTCTGTAGAGTGTGTTGGAATGTTGGAGAGGCTGATGTTAGCTCAGGCTCAAGAATGTGTGTATGAGAATACCATTGCTAAGGGAAGCAGCCCTGGAGTCTGTTCAAAGATTTCAAGACAGGTGCTTCTGCCAGAAACTCTTTTATCACTTCATCTCATTTTAAATATTGCTTGAATGCATGTATTGCAAAATTTTTAGGGTTTAGACATTGTGTTTTGAAAGTACTCGGCCAAAGAAAAAACACATGAAACATAACTTTTTTTATTCTTAGCAATAATTTTGAGAATATATAAATCTTCACGATCAGCAGTTAGATGGTTGGTTTTTCATGAAAAAAAAAGTGATGAAATTGTGAGAGGGAAAGCCTATGAATTGAGGAACTACTGGTTTCTGTGCATTCTGTCATGTAGATTTAAGACCTTTGTATTGAATGCATAAATTGTCATCGAGAGAAAAGGATCTCCTATTGCCTATTGGTTTGAGCATCAGATAATTATGGTCTTAAGCAGATATTTTTTAGTGTGAGAAAGAGAACCTGAAAAACCAAATCCTAGATTTTATTCTAATTGAGCGGTTCCATGCTTGGAATTGAGTTTTACATGAATAAAATCTAGGATTTGGTCCACTGATTGTTGACTACCATATGGTGGTAAAAATCTTGTTAATGTTGGAACTGTAATGTCAAATATTACTTAATGGTGGAAATGGATTCTTTAGCCTTCTTGTTTGAGTACTGAGTAAAACAATCACGTCAATAACCTCAATTGCAGGTTGGGCTATTCTACGAGGAAGCTTTGGCGGCATTGAGTGTTGCACCTCTAAACCAGCACTTTGAAAAGGCCTGGATTGCTCATATTCAGCTAAAAGCAGCTTTGTTTTACACAGAAGCTTGCTACAGATATAGTTTAGAGCTACATGACAAAGAAGAAATCGCAGAGGAAATTGCACGCTTAAAAAGTGGGCTCAATGCCCTTTCTGAGGCAAAAAAGTCAGCTCCCAGAGGGGCAGCCCAGCAGCTCTTGGATGCAGTAAATAAACTAGAATCTAATTTGAATCGTAACCTGGAGAGGGCTATGAAGGAGAACGACAGAGTGTACCTAATGAGGGTTCCCCCTGCCAGTTCCTTAACACCACTTGCCACCTTCTCCATGGTTAAACCAATGCCAATGAATGATGTATTGGATGCTAGCAAGGAGAAAATGTTTGCAAGTCTTGTTCCTGATAGTAGTGCAAAAGCCCTTTCAAGGTATACCGAAATGCTTGATGACATCATTAGGACTCAGGCTGAGAAATTACAGCAGGGTAGTGAACTAGCTCGGGTGAGACTGAAGGAAATGGAGTTGCCTGATTCTATTCTTGCTTTGGAAGGGAATTTCAATCTGCCAACAGCTTTAAAAGAAGATGTGGAGGCAGTACAGATATGTGGGGGCCCGGCTGGTTTGGAAGGTGAGCTTCAGCAACTGAAAGACCTAAGGAGGGTAAACCATGAAATGTTGGTACAGATAGAGGAGCAGTTGCAGAAAGAAGCTACTGAGGATTCACAGTTTAGAAACCAATTTGGAACTCGGTGGACGAGGCCACAATCCAGTACTTTAACAAAGAACTTGCAGGACAGGTTAAATAGGTTTGCAGGAAATTTGAAGCAAGCTGGAGAAAGCGATGCTCGAATTGAGAGATCTATGAGAGAATATTCAGCACTTATGTCTATCCTCGACGCCCGTCCGGTAAGACGTCAAACTTCACTTGGTTAAATGCTATCCGGATCTGGAATCCTCAGTTTTTTGGAGTCAGCTTTTTGATAAATGTCTTGATTTTTGAGCTGGCAGTGTTTATTCAGGACTAAACTATTGAATGCATCAACACTTCTTAAAATATTATCCCTCCGTGCACTGGTTGTCTATGAACTTATTTAGATGGTTATTTGTGGGTTGGTATGCTAAAATGGCATGCTTCTCATGCCCCGAGGATTAAATTGTGGCCTACTTGCTCCTTCTATCTCAGAAGTCCTAGAATCCACAATATTTGCTGATACATAGTCTTTTAGTTTAGACAAGATGTTCTGGTTTGACTTTCCATGCTGTTACCAAATTTTTTGATTAATTGATTTTCAATTTGCTCCATGTCCGAGACCGTAGCTGTTTGCACCCCATTGTTTTCCCACAAGTATCATACTGAAATCAATTACCATGAAAATGGAATATTGAGATATGGTTTATCAACTTGTTACTTCAGCAATTAATCAATGAAAACATTCTTTCCCTTTTGCAGTAGTCACTATAACTTTGTTACATTTTAAATCTTAACTTCTGAATCTATTTGTTCTGTGTTGTTGCTGCATTTTGATTCCAATGTGTATTTCTAATGTTTGCTCTTGTTGATTTGTGATTAGATTGAATCTGCCCTGCCAACTCTTGCTAGGCCAATAATGTCTCTGGATGCAAATGAAGATGTTGTGGTTGGATCCCTGAAGCAGAGCTTGGTAAATTCATGTTACTGAGGCTATAATTTGAATGGTCAATCTGCGATCTGTATCGACTATCGTCAACCTATCTGTTCTTCTTTTTCTTTTTTTTCCGTCATTTCATTATGTTGTTGTTTCGCTGCACGAGCATATTTTTATTATGTTAGATATTATTGATTAAAAAGCCAAATACTTTCGTTTAACATCAATTAAGTTTCTCCAATAAGGATATTTTTGTTAGCTTAACCTTAAGACTGGTAAATCGGCAAGCTTGTGATTTATTGCGTTTGTTTGCAGCGACAATTGGAGACTCTTGGTGCTCAGAGAGCAGGCCTTGAAGACATGCTGAAAGATATGAAAAGAAAGGTACAATGGATTCAGTAATTTGCCGATTATGTAATTGTCCTATTTAACATTATGAGCTAGGTGAACGGTCTGCCTTTCTATTTATTATCTCCAGTATATTGCGTTCAATTTCAGTGATGCCTGTGTTTCTATCTATTGATACATACCACGGACAGCTTTTCAAAAATTATCTCTATGCAAACAATTCGATTCATCTGATTTATTTTTATTCCATCAGGGTGTAGAATTATCAACAGGGACTCTAGAGTTCTTACACCAAACTATTAGTCTTTATTGTGAATGAACAGTTTAGTTGTTGATGATTTATGCCATTCGGCAGCAGGTCAAATTTCTATTGTCCATAGGTATGAAATCCTGTTTATTGAAAATTAACATCATAGTTTTCAACTAAACTTGATTTTACCATTTCTGCGTTGGTGGTCTGACCTCATTCGAAGTTTGTGGACATTTAGACTGCAAGAAAATGTCTAAATCCTTTTTCTTTATCATTCTTGAAATTCAAAATAAGTGGGGCAGGTTAATTTATGTTTTGCAAGGACAAAAAACAAGAGGGGTAGAGGGTCACAAATTCCAAACAAAACGGAAGTTTGATTAGAATATTTTTGCTGTTCCAATAAAGAGAAGTGCTTTAAGTATTTCATGCCTATGTAACAAGAAATGTTGCAAAAAATTCTGATGTAAATTTGAGCTTCAGTAATGTGTAACTAACTGTTGGTTGACTTCACCCTTTATGATGCTTGTGGTTTTGTCACTCAGGATGATATACTGCCCAAATTGATGACCTCTACTGGCTCGCACGACGATCTTTTCAGAAAAGAGATAGCAAAGTATGACAACATTTGTGGAGAAATTGCTCAGAACCTTGAAGCACAAGACCAACTACTAATGCATATTGAGGTCTGAATTTGTTTATTACGTTAATAACCTTCCTGCAAATTTTCCTAATTGTTGTTAATTTAAATCATCTGCTGACTGGCTGCAAGTGATCTCAGTTGATATTGTTATTCTGATAACCATTCACATGGAAATTCAATCACTGACACCCACATGTAATATGAACTTTGTTCACTTGCATGTCTACATGAGTAGTAAATAATTGTTATCCAGGAGTGTATGAATTCGATTCTCAACTTTAAGAGTCAAGTTCTCTTGTGTAATCATGTCTCTTAAGATTCTGTACAATTCATAATCAGATTTATATAATTATACGAACTTTCTAGTGCATTTTTTAAAAAGCTGCAATATACGTATTCATACATTTGCAAAATGAAACTTGTTGATAACCTCAATGGATTTCTCTGTGTGGTCCAAAGAAAGTTGTATTCATGGAGTTCGGTGACTTCTGACTGTGAAGGCAACTGTTAATGCTTTGGTGGCTTTCAATCTTCTAATAGAAAGTTGTTCCTTCATAAAGAGGTTTATCTGGATATAGGTTCTGCTATGCTTCCTTATTTAGCATCCTATCTTTTGGATACTGGGATATTCTTTCTTTATAATTTATTTGTCTTTGAAATCTGGGCATGATGATTGTTCTTAAGGAGAAGATGAAAAGCTTTTAAAATCATTGAAGAAAATATTCATCTTAAATACTTTAATATTTGTCAGGCACAAAATGACAAGTTTGCTGCTATCTTTAACCTTGAAGATTATAAAGGTATGTATGTACCCTGTGCATAATGTTCTTTGTCATATATGAAATATAGTGTCTGCGGACATATTTAGAACTAAATTTTACCGACTATATCAAATCAAAACAGATTCTTGATGTATTTTCTCTTGGAGACTAAGAATTAACTTGCCATTTGTTATTAGTATTTGGTGATATAACAACTAACACCCACTCAATTGGTTGCCAGTTTACCAAATAATAATGTGAGTTGCGCCAATTGGTTTAAATGTTTCTCATGTGGTTCACCTTGACACGGCAATGACGCTTTTAACTTATATCCGTTATTCATCTTCAAGTATCTTACCTCTGAAATGATTTTTTCAAGTTTATTAACTTACCTCTTAACTTGTAGGGTCGAGAAGGTTTAACCACTATACAGTTGTTTTTGTTTTTATTTATCTTCAACTAATCATTCTTCTCTCTTTTAAACAAGTTAATTATTGATGTTGCCTTTTATTTTTGTTTCTACATGTCCTTTTATTTTTTATCTTTTGCTTTAAACATTATCAAACTTTGTTCTATAATTCCTCAGCATCTCGTGAAAAGGGCTACAGACAGATTGAAGCTGCCGTAGCTAAATACCAAGAAATTAAGGAGAACATCAATGAAGGACTGAAGTTTTATGTTACCCTTCAGGTATGAAAATACTATTGTCTAGGCTGCATTATCAATCCAATTGAAAATTCTCTAGAGAAAAATATTGAAGGTGAACTCTGACGAGTTAAAAAAACTGAAATGTGATTTTGCAGTGTATGCAGGACAAAGTTGTCGTTTTTACATTTTACAGTAACAGATAATAAGGCTAGATTTGAATAATTGCTTACAGTCCAAAAATTTCCTGATTTGTTGAAAAAATTATAGACCTGTAAATTTCTCGTGACTATGGAATATGGATATAGTGGTGACAAAATCTTGAATGTGAAGAACACCAGATGTAGAGGGCTTTTATAGTTTGTGAACAGTGGACTAAATTAATCTCTAACTATGTTATTTTTCGAAAACAGGACGCTATCACAATTGTAAAGCAACAGTGCAGTGATTTTGTGATGACTAGAAACATCCAGTGCCGAGAGATGATTGATGACGTTCAAAGGCAAATAGCAGGCCTTAGTTTCCAGGAAGGCAAAAGCAATGCTGGCTACTCTTACACGCCAGCTGGGCCGCCACCTCATCAGGTTCAAAGAACGAATTCTCAACAGCAGCAACAGGACCCTTCGAATATGCCCAACTCATCTCACGCACAAGCCCCCACTTACCAGCCACCAGTGCCTTCTTATGCTCAAACTCCTCCTCCATATACAACCCAACAACAGGTGCCGCCTCCCTACCACCAGCCCCCTTCAAATCCATACCCACCCCCCCAACACCAACAGGCTCCAGTGGGCCATGAGTATGGGCAGCCTGCATATCCTGGTTGGCAGGGGCCATATTATAATGCGCCATCTCAGCAACCTGGATCGATGCCCCGCCCTCCTTACACTGCTCAATCTCCATATCCGCCTCCCAACCACTCCAACCAGAGTGGCTACTACAGACAATGATGAATTTTGCCGTATGGTTATATGGTGAAGTTAAATTCTAGACCTTGCTCTCAAATTGGTTTTGAGTTATTTACTTTATACAAATACAACCTGCGGCTCATATCCGGTGTTCAAGAATTTGTGTGTATATGGTGCTAGTTTCCTCCCGTTACCTTCCCGTCTCCACATTTTATTACATACATATATTCAGAAGAACCTTGATGCTTTTTTTTTTTTGTGATGCTGGTGCAATATAGTTGTGTAAAACGACTACATTTGGATTTCCTGAGGTTATGTTTGTTCATATAAATTTTATGTTGGTTGGGCTGTTCCTACCTTGAACAGTAATTGATCTCGCAAATGTACTGTATGCCTACAATTAATGATTTCTGCATTTCTTTGTATTAATTTGCTAATAAGATATTTATTGATGTGGCAACTTGACCATCTTTTTATGCTTTCTAGTACGCTGTGATTGTTGGTTGGAACTTTTTCTTTTTTTTGAGATACTGTTCGTTGGAACTTAGAAGGTGCCAATATTTTTCATATTCGGTTGGCTGATTGACTAGCAAGAAGTATGAGATTAGGGGAAATTCTTTGTAGCTTTTGATTTTTTAGTTGAGTTAGATATTCGAAGCAGGTCGGAGAGATTTCTGATAAATTCTTATCAGGTCACGACATTTACCATATAATTTTGTCATTGATGCGACATGTGCTGAAATTGTTATATTCATTCTGAAGGGTAGTCTTCAATATGAATACTGCTGCATTAAAAGGTATCGTGCACTTGGATACTTTTGCTAGTGAATACAAAATAGTGTCATAACTTTATTCTTCTGAAAAACTTCAGCAAACAACAGGTGAGTAACGTGGTACAACTTGGTAACATTACATAATAGCATTTATTGCTACTTATTTGGTTGTATAATCGAAAGTAGATGCTATTGTTACTACATCATTCAGCTTTGCGCTTGAGAATGACGAGTATTATTATTGACTTCTCATTGTCGGGGTCCAAGAAAAGTGGCGAAGCTGCAATTTTCTTTGTGTACCTATCGAACAATTCATCCATGACTTCACTTCCAAAGTGATTTTTCAGCAATCCCTCGCAGGTTGCTCTGAGGTACGTGGCACGTGCATCTGCGCTGCGCAAGGTGCACTTTCCTGGATTATTTAATATTTCCATTCTTTCAATACTGAAACTGTTACTCCTCTCGATTATGGCCTTCAACTCTTGTGGGATGGTAAAATACAACGGAAAGTTGAATGTGTCTACCTTTTCTTCTCCAATTAGTCCCTGCAATAGAAGTAGAGTTAAGGACTCCATATCTGTGTTAGTGAATTTAACTCTAGAACTTAATTGCTATAGGTTTCTGCATTGCACAGACAGGTATACAGTTCTTTTTGTATGCAACCAAATTCTTTAAGGTTGCATTTTGATGGGAGGATTTGAAGGAAGGATTTCGAATCCATATAAACAAATCCATTGAGCTCGTTTGGATTGATTCATTTTGACGATAGATTTCGTATCTTTAGCTCAATATGCTTTTGCGATTCATGCAAAAACATAACATAAAATCAAGAAATAGGATCGAAATAAATGTTGTCCCTTTACCTTCTTAGCCATGTCCACGAGACAAGAGCCTATAAGCTCCAACTCCGATTGGGTAGTGTAGAATGTCTCAGAATGCTCAAAACAAGGGGCTGCAGGAACAAGTAGAGTCATTAGCCCTCCACTGACAAGTTCCTCCGCCCTAGCTTCCAAAAACGAGCCAATATCATTAGCATAGCGATTCGAATAGGCTTCGAAAACTTCCTGTACAGCTCCTGTATAGTGAACTCTCCCTTTATTCCATGCTGGAGAAGTATCATCCCTCACTGCCTTAGGCACTTCGGAGATCCAGTTGAGTGCGCAAGAGCAGTAGGCGAAATCAAGGGAGGCTTTAGGGAGGAGCCGCTCGTGGAACGAGCCCGCCACTGCAGCGGCGTGGTAGTTTTTTTGTGGTGGGATTGACCGGAACAGTGTGTTGAAATCGTTAAAAACTTGATCGTTGAAGAGCACTTGAAAGTCTGGGATTTGTGAAGTTTCGGATCGAAACTTCTTTTGGACCGATTCCGTGATGATTTGCATGGCTGGGAAGGAGTTGTGTCCTGTTGAGCAGCCGAAATCTGCGATTCGAAAGGGCTTCACGTGGGTTGAAAAAACATGACCGACGTCTAGTTTTGTTGCAATCTCTTCTTCAATTATTGGTTTTGCAGCATCCACAACTCCTCTCTGCAAGGAAAAAGAGAGTAAGTTCTTGATTATTAGGTTCTGATTTTTGTATATATATAGATAGAGAGAGAGATATACAGACCTGATAGGATGAGTTTTGAGCATAGCTATTAGGGCCTTCTCCACCATTCATGGCGTATAACCCTAATAACGGCATTTCTGTTGTTTTTTCATCGAAATTGAGGTTTGCATGATGATGGACTCTATGATTTGGATCCAATGGGGAGCTCAATGTCATGCGGATTGAGGTCCGTGGGTATCGGAAGCAATTCACCATGCCATACAATTGAGCCATATCTGTGTGTGTGTGTGTGTGTGTTGTTGTGTGTGATATGGAGTTACTCATGCACATGTATATATACACATTCATCTTCATCAGCAGCAGTGAGGACCTAGTATAAAATAATTCCACACAACTATAGCTGACCACATTCATTATGACTTCTTTTGTGTTGTTTAGGGTTGAATAATTGAACGGGCGGTTTTCGATTTTCACCATTTAGATTTGAAGTTTTCCGAGTCATGGAACAATATTTTTCATTCATTCCGAATCTCGAAAATTTCGATTTTCGATTTTTCGAATTATTTTTTTATCGAAATTGAAATATATATGAGATTTTGATTTTCAATTTGTTTCTTGGATTGTAAATTGAAATATATATGAGATTCAGATTTTAATTTCCGGAAATTCGGATTTTTAGGTTACTAAAACTTGGAATTTTCCGGATTCCATCGATCCCGACCGTAAAGTATCCAATTTTGGAACAAGCTTCTTCATTTCCAATCTTTGAAATTTTGATTTCCCAAATTGTGATTTATATTTTTAAAATTTTCTTTTGGAAAATAATTAGAATTAGTTTTTCACTTCCGAGAAAAAACCAGATTTAGTGCTAATTGTAATCGGATTCGCCCGTTTTCCATCCCCTAAGACCAAAATAGTTCTTCTACCTGACTTGAGTACAAATACACAATAGACCTTGAATATAATATATAGCTGATTCTAGGTTTGAATTATACTCAAGTGGCTGATATTTGACATTAATAAAAGATAATGAGATGTGACAATTTCTTAGGCTGCCTAATGCAATACCCAAACCAATCAAGATGAATGCTCATTATACAAGAGTGTTGGTTGGCTGCGGGTTCCTGCATTACCAAAAAAAAAAAAAAAAAAAAAAAAAAAAAAAAAGATGAATGCTCATTTGAAAAGCTGTTAGCCCAATCAAACATCAAATAATTTCACAATTTTATATTAGATTCTGGGCTTAATTAAATAATATGATTAAATAATAAAAGTCATAATTGAAGATCAAGTGGATGATAATGCGTATTGGCATTATGAATTTGACTATATATGTTCATTGCTTACAATAATATCACTGCTTAGGAAATAACAGAAATGATTCCCTTTGGCGTTTGACCACTGTTTAAACATAATTGTGGTGATTCATTATTGAAAGAATTAATAAAGGATAAGCTGTGGATTCAATAATAATAATAATAATAATATAATCTTTTTGGGCCCTTGGACAAATATTTTATAAATCACTGCTATTTTCAGGGCCTGGCCCAAATGCATACAACCTTTTGTAAACTTCACAGCCCAAATAGAGCTATTTAACACGTGTCCAAATCGGAGTGGTGTAATGGTTTAAGTTTGGGTTGGAGGTTGTTAAAAGCTCATTTGATATGCTTAGGGAATTTTACAGAAATAATAGATAAATAAGTAATATGCTTAAGGAATCAATAAGATGCTTGTTGTAGATGCAGTGGATAAACCTACACTCTCGTATAATAGTTTGCAAATTATACGAGAGATGTAAACCACACTAGGTGATGGGTTGTAGACTTGGTAATTGACCAAATCCTTTGAATCGAGCTAGGTTAACAAAAGGGTAAGGCCCTACTCGGTAGCTCATTTTAGGCGATTAGGAGAATTCGGGCCCGTTGACTAGAAGATCTCTAACTTGGAGTACACGGTGCCAAGGGAAATAAGGAATAAAGTATGCAACAAGAGGAAAAAATCTCGATAAGGAAAACGTATCCCGAGAGGGAAGGATAAGAAAAACCTACTATCGATGGACTCGAGAAAACCCTTACTCTATCAATATGTTTAGTAAGGTGAACAAAAGGCATCCAGGAAAATATACACAAAGAGAGCAATATACTTAAGTTTCTCTTAGCAATTGTCTAAAAATCTTATAATCGCTCGTCTTCGAGGATCTTCTCTAGGGGTTCCAATAAAACAGTCATTAATGGAGACTTTACTGCGTATAATCGAACACGATCACTAGGCGGCTAACCATATGTGACAAACTTGACAAAACGACCATTATGAAGGGAATTCAAACTTGAGTCAATTAGATCGTGTAGGGGATAATTTTAGTTTACTAGTAGGAATTTTTGATTTTTACTGTGATAACCTCTTACATGCACCAACCGCTAGGACATCCTTACGTTACAAAAAGAAAATGAAATTTCGCAATGGTAGAAAGTTGTCTTGTATGCAAAAGCAACTTTACTCTTCTTTTAGAAATTTAGAAATTTAAAAATTGACATATATTTTGCGTTCATACTTTAAAAAGTAAGAAAATACTAATAAATAATAAATGGTAAAAAGCAATTAAGAGATAAAAGAGGGGTGTATATAAGAATAAGAAAAGTACAAAAGTTGCTGTTGGGGAAAAGCTGTCCATAATGAATGCTGATGAAAGGGCTGTTTGGCCATGCATGCATTTACATCCTGCGTTTGTTTCATAATTTTGTCTTTCCTTCTCACTTTTTAATTCCTCCACCTTTTCCTTCTTTTAATTCTCCCCACTGTTTTATATATATATATATATATATATATATATATATACCCATATCAACTTTGTTAGAGAGAGAGAGAGATCTAGAGAGAGAAAGAGAGATTTTGGAAGAACATTCTGTAATGGAGAGACGATTTAATTATTTACTGGTTATTTCTCTGCTACTCGGAGTTTCGTTTTCTGCCGTCGCCGCCGGATCGAATGTTCCGGCGATTTTCATATTCGGCGACTCAATTTTCGACGCCGGAAACAACCACTACATCAAAAACTGCACCGCCCAGGCGGATTTCGCCCCTTACGGATCCACCTTTTTTAAACGCCCCACCGGAAGATTCACCAACGGCAGAACTGTAGCCGATTTCATCTGTAAGTGCACCTTTCGATCAATTTTGCACACACACACACACACACGTACGGGTCTCTGTGTTTTTTTTCATTTTGGGGATAATTAATATGTTGATGAGGGTTTATGGTAATAATTGATACCGATGGCATTTTGGCAGCTCAATTTTTGAGAATCCCTCTGCAAAAACCGTACCTGGAAATTGTGAACGGAGGTAGACAGAATTATCCGGCGAACGGCATCAACTTCGCCAGCGCCGGCAGTGGGGTTCTACGTGCAACAAATAACGAAACAGTGAGAATTTCTTTTTTGCATCTTTTTTTTTTTTTGTATGAAAATATAAAAGTCGTGTTTACATGAAAAGGTGTCCCGAAACAAGCACGATTTTAGGAGGACAAAATTCTTTACTGGAAATCTTTTTTATTTTTTATTTTTTTGAATCAATTTTATGGCTTTCTTTCTCTGATCTTTTAATTTATATTTTTGGGAAAATTCTAAAACCATATTAATTATAAAAAAATAATTTTCAATAATATATGAGCCACGAATTCTTTTAAATATTTTCGGGTCATTTTCTTTCATTTAAAAAAAAATTAGTGCTTCATATGCTATTCTTAATTTTTTTTTTTTCAATCTCAATTAATTATGTTATCATATACTAACTTTCAGACGGTAAAATTAAACACAACCAAAAAAAATTAGGTGACAATTGATAAAGTGTAAATATCCCTCTTAGGAAATTGTTCCCATCAAAATCGACCATATAATAAATTGTAACATGATTTAATTTCCATCTATTACAATTTACGCCTCTAGTATAATTTGCTAGCAGATTACTTCGTTAAAAAAAAAAAAAAAAAAAGTAAGTGGTGGTCCTAGTGGAATCCGAAGTATCAAATAATTAATTTCATTTCTTGAATCTTCACTCTTCACCATGCAATAAGTGCAAACTTTATTTTATACATTTCCAATACAAAATCTCAATCAATCAAATAAATTTCTTGCAGGGAGTAACACCACTCCAAGTCCAGCTGCAACAATTCAAAACCCTAGTTGACCAAAACCACATCAACAAAAAAATCCTCCAAAAATCCCTCTTCCTTTTCGAATCCGGCTCAAACGACATATTCAACTATTTCTACCCGTTCGATACCCCAACACTAACCCCCGACGCTTACGCACAATCCATGCTCAAAGAAGTCCAACTTTTCATCGACACAATCCACAAGCTTGGGGCCCGCAAGATCGCAGTGTTCGCATTAGGGCCCGTCGGCTGTGTACCGGCCCGCGCACTCTTGCCTGGTGCACCCGTCAATAAATGCTACGGCAAAATGAATAAGATGGTGAAGTATTACAATACGGGGCTTGACAACTTGGTGAAGGGCTTGCCTGTTAGATATCCCGGCGCAGTCGGTGTTTTCGGAGGTGTTTATAAGTTGGTTCAGATTTTTCGCGACGACCCTAAACGATATGGTAATTTCTTTTTTATATATCCCTTTTCTTGTTTAAATAATGCATATAAATTAAATAGTTTTATCAATTGATATGTTGTAGAATTTACAGAATTTAATATTTCGCTAAATTAACAGAATTTACGTAATCCCGACTGTATTAATTTATAGAGGTTTGATTGTATGTAATTAATATTAATCTGTAGTTAATTTTAAACAGGATTTGGAAATGTGGATAATGCATGCTGTGGATTAGGAACACTTGGAGGACAATTGCAATGTGGGAAAGAAGGGTACACAGTGTGTAAAAACCCTAATGAGTATTTATTTTGGGATTTCTTTCACCCATCTGAGCATACATACAAACTCATATCCAAGGCCTTGTGGGCGGGTGACACGACCCGGATCCGACCCTTTAATTTGAAGAAACTTGCCAATATTACCCTCCCTCGGTTTTAAATATCCGTTATGTATGTGTTCGGTTGAATTTATATGTATTGAGGTTTGTTTATCGAAAAAATAAAATCGGACTTTTTGGTTTCGTCAGATTTGTACGACTTGGTTACATGTTGTGTAGCACGAAAACTCAAACCTCTTAACGTTTCTTTGTCTCGGACATGTTTGTGTCCGACACTTGCCGGAGACTTTATGGGCCGTTTTGTGATTTCTAAAAAGTTAGAAACATGTTTGAATAATAAACCCTAATGAACAATTGCAAATGGATGACTGATAATAGTTTATTCTGAATATGTTTGTATTAAAATATATAAAAATAATTTATATATAAATAAAAACTTATATATGATTATATAATATTTATAAACATGGGGTTATATGAGATAACCCCTTTATTTAATTTCCTAAGAGGGATAAGTCCAAATAATAATCCTACTTTTGGGATAACCCCCTCCCATAGCAAAATACTTATATTACCCTTGAGGTGTATTTTTGAATTTTAATGTTTAATTTAATTTCCCAAAACAACTCCCCTAAAAATCCGCCTAATCCCCTAAAATCACTCAAAAAATCTCAAACCGCTTTCAATTAAAAATAAATTACGATTGTTTGATTATGTTTTTAATTTAGGGCTTTTTTTTTGCTGAATTTTTTTTTTTTTAAATTTTGATTAAATTGTGTTTTTTTTTTAATTTATTTTTATTCTGAAGCTTTTTTATAAGAAAATTATAAAATTTTGATTTTCTTAAAAAAAAAAATTCGTTATTAAAAATTGATTTTTTTTTAAATTCTCTATTTACATTTCGATTTAAAAAACAAAGTTTTAACAAATTAAAATTCACTATAAACTTATCGAAAACCACTATGTAATCAACGAAAACCACTATGTAATTAATGTATTCTATTTCAAAAATTCATTATAAATTTATCGAAAACCACTATGTATTAATGTAGTTCATTACGAAAATCCATTATAAGGTTATCGAAAACCACTAAATAATTAACATTATCTATTACGAATTCGAAAATTCATTATAAACTTATCAAAAACCACTAAATAATTAACATTATCTATTATGAAAAATCAATGTAAACTTATTGAAAAATTCAATTTTTTAAAAAATCATTTTACTTCCGGAAGGTTTACCAAAAAATGAAATCCACTATACATTTATCAAAAATATCGACATTCATTATAAAAAAAATATATAAAAAAAAAAAGTTAAATTGTCGTAATCCATTGTAAAATTAACGTAATTCACTATTTACTGTCTCAGTTTAAAATCCACTATTACGGTACACATCAAAATTTATGAACATTCACTATCTAAAAAAAATTAACTTAATCCTGCCTGAATTTGAAATCCACTATTCAATGTCCCTCTAACGTAATCCACTATTTAATGTCGCGTAATTCGAAAACCACTATCCACTATTCACGGTCTAAAGTTGAAATCCACTATTCACTGCCTAAATTTGAAATCCACTATACACTGTACGCGTTGTCAACCCCATCCCTCTAACGTAATCCACTATTTAATGTCGAAAACCACTATTTACTAAAACCACTATTTACCGTAAGCGCATCGACACCCCTTCCTCTATTCCTCGCGCCTGCAGCAGGTATATTTTAACTGAAATCCACTACAAGTTCATCAAAAACCACTACAAAAATATAGAAATCCACTACATAAGATCCCTTTACAAAGAGAAAACCCATAAAAAACTTGCCTAAATTCACAAAAAAAAAAAAATCCCTTTTAATAAACAATGTCATTGCAGACAATAATAGAGTCACCCGAGCATCACCCAACCTCGTCCTACTTGTTGCCATCACTCCGTTTGTGCAAAAACATGAACCAAACAAAAAGAAGACAACAACGTGTAAATTTAATTCATTCAAAACAAAATCGATTTACAAATCAAGAATTTTAAATTTACTACAATCTCATCCAAACACATTACACAAAGTTAGAAAGAGAAATAAACATATAAAACTTACTAACATATGAAACTGACTAAACATTCTCTCCCACGAACAGAACATGAGATTTCATTCGAATGGAAGGAAATACGATATTAAATTAAATTATTATTAAAAACTGTGCATTCCCATTTATTGAAAAAAAAATTCAATTAAATTTGAAAGCCTCCGAAAATCAAGTAAAAAAAATTGAATAAGAAATAATAAAAATTCTCCATACTTTTCAAATTACCCGTGTATCTCGTCGATCCCATCGAAAAAAAAAACACAAGACACGAAATAATCAAAATTCTCCATACTTTTCAAATTACCCGTACATCTCATCGCTCCCATCACAAAAAAAAAACACCGGCTCTTTCTGTGTTGTCTGGGAAGATAGAGATTCCCGCCCTAGAGGATGAACGAACCGCGGCAGCTGATATGGTGGATGACAAGAAGGCAGACGCAGGCGGTCCATTAAGGCGGTGATGATGCCGAAGTGGTGAAGATCTCACATCGACGAAGATGACCGGAAGATATCTCTGCTGTTGTGGAGGAAGAGAGGGTGCGGATGTTGAAAGAAAAAAGAATCGAGAAAAAAACGTGTGGTAGAATTATGGTAGATGTAATTGATTTATTATAATTTAATATTAAATTATATGTTTTGTTAAATAAAAAATTAGATCTATGCAAGGAAATAATTAAGGGTATTATGGAAATAACATAATTAAAATAGTTAATAAATAAAATTTAGGATTTATCTCAAAAAGAGGGAAAAAAAATGGGTCTGCACTAATTATAAAAGGCATATGGGGGTGTTTTATCAAATAATCCCTATAAACATATCCCTATATTTTTTATATTTATACATTTCTCCCAAACTTCTGTATCTCCATTTTTGGGACATTCTTGTTTCTCTTCATATCGCCGTTTCTGTCTCTATGATACATAGGTTGAAAGTGTTACACAAAAATGAGGTTAATGGAGATGATTAAGATTTGTTTAATGGCACAATTAGGACTAACTAAGAACAAAATTAGGTGGCCCAATTATTAGCCGAATCAAGTATTTAAGTCAAAGTCCAAAGTGTTTCACTTGGACCTAAAAATTATTATATTGTTCATGAGCTCGCACGCAGCCTATCATTACTCATTACAACACGTTTATATTGTCTTCTTTCTAATAAATGATGGTTTCTTCTTTTTAGAACTTATTATCCCTCATTAATTGGCTTGATTAACGCGCCAATAAAATGAATTATATGTCAAACTCATATCCCTTAATTTCTTCATGTGAAAATATATTAAAATATTAGGTCGATAATTTAACATTTTATTTAATTAATTGAATTGTTTTCTTCCAATTGAACTAATTTATAGAGGTTTAACTAATTTCTAGATCCACTTATACATGTTTATAATTTCAGAAAAGTATTATATTTAAAATTTATAACAATATATCTTTCTACAAGATATATTTTCTGAACTAGTGGTTTTGAATTTGCTTCATTTTTATGCCTATACGGTCGATATTTTTTTTTTTCTTTTTCTATTATAATAATATTTTATTTTGTTTAGAAGTATGTAAAATAAGATAGTTGGGCTAGTTCGAAGCTTCCGCAGACTTCGGCCGAACTCAGTCCGCGTCGCCTAGTCAACACCCAAACAGTCCACAACCGTCTGCCCATATATATAATGTCATTTTCCTCTTTTAAAATAATATAATAATATAATTAATAAACTTCTCCCTTTTGAATAAATGGAAAATACATAAATAAATAAATAAATTCTGAATTAACGTGTGAATGTGGGGCACGCTTTTGAATGTTCCTCTCACTCCTCAATTTATTTATTTTATTAATTAAAAAAAGAACAATTTAATCACCAGAAACAAACCAGAAGCGTGACTAGATAAACACACGCAAAAAGTCTCTCTCTCTCTCTCCTCTTTCTCTCTCATCAACACTCAACAGTCGTGTTGTATATAAAGTCTGTAAACCAACTGAGAGAAACCCCAAAAACCTTCCTCACAATATTTTCTCAACATCAAATGGGAAATTACATCTCATGCGCTTTCGTAGCTCCGAAGCTGAGGAATCACAGATCCGCTAGGGTTCTTCTCCCCGGCGGCGAAATTCGCCAGTTCCGGCAGCCGGTCAAGGCGGCGGAGCTCATGCTCGATTCACCCAGCTACTTCGTCGCCAACTCCAAATCGTTAATCATCGGCCGCCGATTTTCGCCGCTGTCGGCGGACGAGGACTTGGAGTTTGGAAACCTCTACGTTATGCTCCCGATGAGGAGAGTCAATTCCGTCGTCACCGCCGCTGACGTCGCCGTTTTCCTGATGTCGGCCAATTCCGCGCCGAAGCGGTTATCCGGCGGCGGCGGCGGAAGCGCCGTCCGAGTGTCTCCGGAGGCGGCGGCGGCGGCTGACAATTCGAGTGAGAATGGACGGCCGAGATTGAGTTTGGAGGATATGGCGCCGGAGTATCAGTTTAGACTGGCCGTGTGCAGGTCGAAGCGGCCGGGGTTGGATACAATTATTGAAGAGCCAATTTTTTCTAGGTGAAAATTAAAAAATAATTTAAAAAAAATTAGCTTTTGTTTTTAGGTTAGGACGGTAATTTTTTTCATGTATTTGTTTTTTGTGTCAAATTTAATTTTGTTAATTAGGTGGTTGATTTGTTGGTTAGTCATACACTGTGGATGATATACATACAAATTATATACATACAAATTAAGTTTGAAGATATGTTATACTATATTGATGACAATAATTGGTATAGCGTGATTTTTATTTTATTTATAATTAAATAATAATTACGAAATTTGGTAATTTCCTAGTGGTTGCCTTTTGAATGGGATTGCTACTTTTGAATTTGACCATGCCAACAAGATTGAATCTAACAGCATTTCATTTTTAATCGGAAAATGACATACACTGTAAATAAAAGGGAAAAATGATCTACAAATTACAATATTAATGAATATTAAAAGTTATTTAAAATAATAAGAATGAATTTGAATATGGATCTTATGTTAAAAGGCCTGGTTGACCTGAGTTCGTAACTCGGTTTAGGCCCATTTGTAAAGAAAATTATACATGGACCAATAACCAAATAGACACGTATTGGGCTTAAGATATATGAATAAATAAATATAGCCCAAATTGAAAATTAAAGACAAAATGGTTGTTCATCTCGATTCTCGAATATTATTATACATTTAATATTATAGGTTAATTAAGTATTAATTTTTGTTTGATTTTTACCGATCAGCTGATTTTGTGAATACTTTTTTCATTTGCGCTCTTAGATTTTTTCTGGAACGAAATTGAAATTAGTTTTTCACTGATTTTTATTTTATTTTATTTAGAAAGTGTTAATTGGAGAAAAAAAAATTAATTTATTAATCCAATTGGTAAAAAGGAAATGAGGGAATTCGCTAATTGGACCAAAAAGCATCGTAATTCATGAACTGCAATCTTTTCTTGGGACCTTTGATATTCATTCTTGGGAAATTAGGATACTAACTAATGAGATTAAGATGTTAATCTGTTTTTATTACGTGAAAGCATTTAAGTTAATTAAATCAAAGAGACACACACACCCAATTTACATCTATATATACATCACAACCGATCGCCTTTTTATATATACAATTTGTATTAGTTTCTTATACTCTAATAATATAATATTACTTTCATATTTGCTAATTTAAAAAAATCAAGAAATCAACATGTCTGGAAAAGGTGGCAACGGTGGTGGATCAGTTGGTGGGGGAAAAGGCGGTGGCGGTGGCGGCAATGGTGGTGGTGGTGGTGGAGCCTATCAAGGCGGTGGTGGTGGTGGTGGAGCCTATCAAGGCGGCGGCGGCGGCAGTGGTGAAATGATGAAAACTCCGGGAGGAGGTGGGTCCTACATATCTAGGCCTGGCTTTGAGAGTAATCCACAGGGTTATTTTTCTGGACAGCGTGGCAATGATCAAAAGGGGAAGTGATTTTGATTTAATTAGTTTCAATAAATAATATAATGGGAGTGCTACCCCTAATTGTGTAGTCAATGATAATATATTATCATGAATAAAATAGTTTAATTATTCCTTGACCAAATTGAAAGTGAATTAAATTATGGGATAATTTGACAAAACTCCTCAATCACACAAGTCTCATTACAATGAGCTCAATTTTATTTTACATTTTTAAGATAAATCCAAAACAACTTTTATTAATTAATAATACTTAATTATCATCATTATACCCCTAATTAAGAAAAGAATGTATATTTAATTTATAATTAAAAGATATATAATATATTTTCTATATATTATATATGTCTCTCTTGCACACACACACAACACACGCACACACAGTCTCTCTCTCTTGCACACACACACACAACACACGAACACACACACAACTGCCATTATATTCACATACATCCACAAGTTTCTCCATTGTTGTGGGCCAAAAAAATCAGATATTCAAATACACAATTAATAAAATAGAGAGAGATTCAAATACACAAGTTTCTCCATTGTTGTGGGCCGGAAAAATCAGATATTCAAATACACAATTAATAAAATAGAGAGAGATTCAAATACACAAGTTTCTCCATTGTTGTGGCGTCTCACAAACGAATGGAATTCGACATGTATCGATAGGCCAAACAAACTCGTGTTTTTGTGCAACCCCTGAGAATCCGTCCGATCTGCACCCCTAGATAGGACATACATACTCGTGTTTTTGGGCAACCTCTGAGAAGCTATTGATGATGAGTCCCCATTTTATCAAGAAGTCAAAATGGTAATTACAAAAGTGGTTTTCATTAATTACATGGTGGATTTTCGTAATGGAATTCGTTAATTATACAGTGGTTTTCGTTAATTACATAGTGGTTTTTTAATTATTAAGTGGTTTTTGTTAATTGATAAGTTTTTAGTAATTATTGTAATGAAATTTGTTAATTACATAATAATTTTCATTAGTTACATAGTGATTTTCATTAATTTTTACTTTAATTTCATAGTGGTTTACGAAAAATTTAGTGGTTTTCAATATGTATGTAGTGGATTTCAATTTTTTTTAAATATAAACCATTTAAAAATGTGAAATAAAAAAAACTAATTTTTCGTTTAAAATTGATATAAAACAAACTATTTAAAAAATAAAAAAATAAAAATAAAACTTCAGCAAAAATGGCGTAGGGGAGATAATTGGGGGATTGTGTGGGGAGAAAATTGGGGGATTTACATATCTACCAAAAATAATGATTTTTTTAAAATAATATAATATGGTAATTTTTAGTAATATTAAATAGGGGCATTTTGGATAATTCCAAACAATTGGATTTATATCAAATATCAATTAAAAAAAATGGATTTATCAAGAAGTCAAAATTGAATGAGGGGTGTTTATCAAATAGCCCCTTAAATTATATATGTTACTGTTGTTTTGAAGATATTTTTTAGCAAATTTTAGATTGAGAGCATCTCCAACCTTGTAGGTTTTGGAGAGGCAAAACTAAATTATAAATATTTTACCATCTCAAACCGAGAAAATTTGCTCCAATTGAGAGAGTTATAATTTAGCCGGTTGCTAAATTCAATGACCCAGCCGGTATATATATCAGTTAACTATTCACATATGGTATCCAATATAATATTAAAATAATGCAGGCCCCACCCCACATTTTTACTATTCACGCGTAGTCAGCCTTTTTTTTTTTCAAAGCCAAAACATTTTTAAAGTTTATTTAATTCTTTTTTTTTTTCGTTTATCTAATACTTTAATTGATAATAGTAATAATAATAATAATAATAATAATAATAATAATAATAATAATAATAATAATAATAATAATAATAATAATAATAATAATAATAATAATAATAATAATAATAATAATAATGTGG